TCCTTCAGAATCTCTGCAAAGAAAAAATAAAACCAGTAAGGATCTCAGATAAGGAGTATGATGAAACAAAGCCTTCTTGTATTTTTCCTCCCATGCAGCAACACCTTTTCTGTAACACACAAATCTGATCAGATGAGAGCAGCCCTGCAGAGAAAGACCGGAAGGTCCTGATGGATGAAAAACTTAACATGAGCCAGCAGTGTGCTTTTGCAGCTTGGAAAGCAAATGGTATCCTGGGCTCCATCAGAAGAGGGGTGGCCAGTAGGGACAGGGAGGTGATTGTCCCCCTCTACTCTGCTCTTGTGAGGCCCGACCTGGAGTACTGTGTCCAGGTCTGGAGCCCCCAGTACAAGAAAGACAGAGCTGTTGGAGAGGGTCCAGAGGAGGGCCACGAAGATGATCAGGGGACTGGAGCACCTCCCCTACGAAGACAGGCTGAGGCATCTGGGCTTGTTCAGCCTGGAGAAAAGAAGGCTGCAGGGTGACCTCATTGCAGCATTTCAATACCTAAAGGGAGCCTACAAACAGGAGGGGAATCAACTTTTTGAAAGGGTTGATAACTGCAGGACAAGGGGAAATGGTTTTAAGTTGAGGGAGGGGAGATTTAGGTTGAATATCAGGGGAAAGTTCTTTACTATGAGAGTAGTGAAGTGCTGGAACAGGCTGCCCAGAGAGGTTGTGGATGCCCCGTCCCCGGAGGTGTTCAAGGCCAGATTGGATGGGGCCCTGGGCAGTCTGGGCTAGTATTAAATGAGGAGGTTGGTGGCCCTGCATGTGGCAGGGGGGTTGGAGATTCATGATCCTTGAGGTCCCTTCCAACCCGGGCCATTCTGTGATCAATGATGAATTCCCTGAAGCTGAAATCTGCCCAGGCACTCATGACTCCAGTGGACTGCTTTTGTCCAGTAGGCCCCTCAGGAAGAGAATGGAAGTGCTGATTTAAGGAAAAAAAAAAGAAAAAAAGATGAAACAATCTCATGCATTTTGACAATTCTTTTATTTAAATTCATCAATAATTTAAGAAAATAATAATGACGACAGAAGGTATAGCACCAAAAGTTCTGACATCAACTGCCGAATTGAAGGGGAAAGTAACAGAATACTTCCTAGGACATTTTCTGTATAATGACACAGGTATTTGTACTGAATGACTGAGAGTGGGAGAGAGAGAAAGCATAAACCAGCATAGAAGTTAGCCAGTGAGTTACTTAATAATCGCTATCTCATTCAACAGCTGATGCAGAAGAACTCCAAATGCACTGAGCAAGGCATTCAGTTACAGCAAGCACCCTCCGATACTGCTCTGTTACTGCTGAGCATACGAGGCCAATTAGATCCTGATGATGACACAACAACTACAATAACCAAGAAGTCTAGCTTGCTTCACCCCTGTGTATTCCGCAAAACATCCTTAACTTACTTTTCCAAACACAGAAACATATTTTTCACTAAATATTTACTGTAAGAAAAGAGACGGGAGTTAGGAGATAACTATGACAATTCCTAGGATATACCTAGAAACTTGCTTTAAGCAGAGCTTCTGGAGTTTTGCTGTGGTACTCACACACACTCAGCCATCCTAACTCACGACGGCTTGGCTTCACAGACACCTCTGTCATCGCTCTGCTCACAGCTTTCCTTTTTCCCAGCTGAGTCCATTCTGGCTGAGGTGAGCAAGATGCACACAGATACGGGATCTGACCCCAACTCACCGCGTGGAAATTAGCAACGCACACGCGAACGTCTTTGCTAAAGCTGCACAGAATTGTTTCCTAAAGTGTTTTGTTGTTGCTGCTGCTGTTGGGGGTGGTGTTTTGCTTTAAGAGATCTCGATGCTGTCCATCTCCGTGCCGGCACTGCGGTTTTGCCATCCCTGGGCACTTGAACAAATCCATTCCGAAGACGCAGCGCCGACACGTGAAGCGCACACGGGCTTTTATACGGCCCTGTTAGTCAGCGGCGTGACTAACACCGGCACCTCGCGCTGCTACCGGCTACCTCAAACAAGGAGCTCGGCTCTTTCTCCTCCAGCTAACGCTCCGCCCCTCCCGCGCTCAACAAGTCGGGACGCAGCACTCGGCAAGCGGCGGAACCCAGCGGCACTAATTCCCAGCGGCTGCAGCTCCCCCAGCGCGTCCGTTCCCGGCGCCGCAGCGGCACCCCGGGATGCGCGGCAGTGCCGGCCGCGCCCCGGATGTGACGGAGCCGCTATTGTTCTCCGGCAGGAAACCGGCGGCGGTTCTCCGGTTCGCAGCGCAACAGCCGGAGCAGAGGAAGCGGGGTAGGAGGGGCCCGGAGAGGAGCGGAGGCGGCCCTCCCGCCATTCCGCCTATCAGAGTGGGCGACGAGGAAAGCCCGCCCCTGCTGGCGCCCCGCGCCCAATCGGAAGCCGGAAGAACCGAAGCACGGAGCCAATCACAGCGCGCGGAGCTACCTCGCGCCCGCCCCCCCAGTGCCGCCGCGCCACTCACGAGCGGGAGGAGGCGGGTCCAGTCGCTTCCCCCCTCCCGCGACGCCGCCGGCCTCCGGACGCCCAAGGTTGGCCTGCCCGCTGCTGGCGCTGCAGCCAATCGGAGCCCAGAGGCCGGGGCAGGTCGAGATATTCAAATCAACGCCACAGAAAAGTTGCTTCTCGAAACGTCACACGGGGGCGGGGCGAAAGGCGGGACGACCCGCCCCGCGGCCCAATCAGCGAGAGGAGGCGAGCCGCGGACGGCCCGTGGGGAAGGCGCCCACCAATCAGCACGTCTCGGGGCGGGGCGAGCGGCGCTATGCTAACGAGGAGTGGTTATAAAAGCCACGCCGACGCCAAATCCCCACCACAGCGCGGAGGCACCCGCTGGTCGTACGGTTTCGGAGCGTAGCACAACCGCACCGATCGCCCTGCCCCGCCACTGCCGCCTCCCCACCCGCTGCCCAGCCCCCGCGGAAGTTTCCCCCGTCCCCTTTCCTCCCGTGGGGCCGCCTGGCGATATGCCCGCCGAGCAGCGCAGGGCTCGCTCCCCACCTCCCCGGGAGCCGCCAGCCCCCCTGCTCGGAGGCTGAGCGAGTGGGGTGCTCCCCACCCCGCGCCCCGGCTGTCAGCGCTGCCGGCTACGGCCTCCCCTCCCCCTTCCCTTTCCTTTTCCGAGCGGACACCGGCGAGCGAGTGACAAAGCTACCCCCAGCCCGGCCCGGCCCGGCCCTCCCTCCGCCCGTGGGGTAGGGGCACAGCGTGCGCCAAGGGAAGGAGAGGGGTAACCCAGCGCTGGGCAAATCCATGAGCGCGGCCGCCCTCCCCCCCGTACACACACACACACACATACACACACACACACACAGACATACACACCACGCACCCGCCGGTCCCAGCCCCCCCCCCGCCCCGCTCAGCGGGGCCGCCTCACCGGGCGCAGCGAAGAAAGCACACCCTGCCCCCCGCTCTGCTTTAACCCCCCTCCGCTCCCGCCCGCCCGCCCCCCCACGAGCCGCCTCTCTCCCCTACTCCAGCCATCATGAATACTGTACATTCCTCTATGTTGTGCTGTAATCTCTCCCTCGCCGTCCGCGCGGCACTTTCCTCCGTAGCCCCGAAGCCTCCCCCCGACGCCCCGCGGCGGCGGAGGGCCCCCCTTTGTGCCCCGCACGCCCCGCTCCCTACCCCCGCCTTCTCGGCCGGCGATTCGCACGGCGAAGCGGAGTCCTCGCTCCGTACGAGGAGCCGGGGACCTTTTGTTCCGCCCCGTGACAAGAGGCAGCGCTGCGGCTCGGCCCCCCGGCACACGGCTGCCATCCCCGCGGCGCGGGGGGCACGAACAGCCGAGCCCCGGCTGCGGGGAGAAGAAAGGCAGAGACAACCCTCCCCCAGCCCCGCACCGCACACACGCACGCAGGGAGAGCGCTTACCTTGGTATTTGGCGTCGATTTCCCTCATCAAGGAGACATTTCTCTGCAGATCGAAGGGCAGAGACTCGATGGAGTCCAGATAATCCTCCACGTAGTTCACGAGGTGCAGCTGCTCTCCGTTTGCAGGACTCAACATTTTCATCCGGCAAAGAGGAGGAAAAAAAAAAAAAAAAAAAAAAAAAGGGGGGAAAAAAAACCCTCCTCCTCCTCCTCCTCCTTCCCCACGCCTCTCTCCGCCGCTGTCCGTGCCCCGTTCCCCCGGCAGCTACATGGGAGCCCGCTGCCAGGCACAGCCGAGCTCGCAGCCCCCGCCGGTCCCTACAGCCCGAGCAGCTGACTGAATGGCTGTCGCGGTGGGGAACTCACGGAGGAGGTGGTAGGAACAATCAGCGGGATTTGTGCGTGCGGAGGGAGGGGGGGAAGGAGGAGGAGGAGGAGGAGGAGGGAGGGGGCTCGGGCCAGCCCCTCCGAAACAAGCCGCCAGCAGAATGTGCCCCGCCGGGCGCTGTCAGAGCCGGCCCGGCCCGGCCCCCCGTTCCGCCGCCCGAACGCAGCTTCCCCGCCGCCGCACGCCGCGCTCGATCCAACGTGGAGGAGCCGAATCCCAGTTTCAAACACTTGGGAAACACTCAGCCCCGCCACGCACGGCGCATGCGCGGCCCTCCCCGCGCTGTGTACACACACGGACGGACGGACACACGGACGCGGGCACACACATCGCGCGCGCACGCTCCCCTCCCCCGCCCGGAACCGCGGCGGGGCCCGGCGCCGCCCCGCGCTCCTCGTCCCTCCTCCTCCTCCGCCCCTTACTCACGTTTGGGGGGAGGAAGGCGGTGTGGGCGCGGGGAGAGGGAGGCGGAGGCTCCGGAGAAGTCGTGCCCGGAGGAGAGCGGCTCTGAGGGCACGCGGGGCCGGAGGGGAGCGGGGTGCTTTGGGGCACGGGCAGCGAGGTCGGGCCGAGGAGCGGCTCCGGCCGCTCGCCGCCGGGGCGCCGGGAACCACGCGGCGCCGCCGCCCCGCTCCGGGGGCAGGGCCGGGCCCGGCCGAGGGCAGCGCGGCCTCCCGCCTCTCCGCGGGCGGGCGCATCGATCACCCCCGCGGCCGCGCCGGCCAATCGCACGCTCCCTCGTGGCCCGCCCCGCGGCCGCTCGGCCAATAGGAGCCGGGCGGGAGGGAGGGCGCAGCGGTGACAACGCCGCCCTCCCGGGATACCGGAGGGGCGGGAACACGCGCCGGGGGGTGTGGATGAGGGAAGGGGAGAGGAAAAAAAAAAAAAGAAAAAAAAAAAGGGAGGGGGGTGGAGTGCGCACGCGCAATGCTCGCCGCGCGAGCAGAAAATGGAGCCGCGTTCTGGCGGGACAGGACTATGTTTCCCGGCAGGCTCAGCGGCAGGCGGCGGTATTCTGCTCCTCCCTGGGGCTGAGGCGCTGGCGTGCTGCTGCCGTGTTCTACAGCCCTAGCGGGCTGAAGCGGCGGAAAGAGCCGGGAGCGAAGCTCTCCGGACCGACGCGTCCCCGCCCTCCCCGGCCGAGGCAGCCGAAAGAACCGCGGGTGGCCGCGCGCAGCCGGCGCCGCCCCTTCGGGGTGGTGCTCCGAGGCACGGGGGGCTGCGCCTCAGCGCTCCCGCCCTGTGAAATGCAGCGGCGCGGGGCCGTGCGCGTTGCTCTTCGCTGAGTGCGGAACGCGGCGCGCTTTTCTCCCCGCGCGTGCCGCGGGAAGACGTCACCGCCGCTGCGGAGCGCTTTAATCTCCTTTTTCTTTCAGTGGTCACGGCCCGCGCGTTGCCAGGACGACAGCCTTGCTGCCGGGAGGAGGGCTGCGGGCGGGCGGGCGCTGAAGGGAGGGATGGGAGGCCGCTGCGTCTCGGCTCTCGGGGGAATGTGCTCGTGTTTACCTGGAATTTCCTCTCGCGGCGTGCCCGCGGTCGCCCGAAGATCTCCTGTTTCTGTTAGGAGAGGCGGAGAGGGCCTGGAAAAACTGACCCGGCTCTCGCGAAGCAAAACAAACGCTCGCCGTCTGATTTTCTTAAAACGTCACCGGCAATCCCCTAATTGAGGGGACTGACTCACGGTTTCTAAGCCCAGACCTGCCGGTGCGGTTGTGCGTTAGGCGCTGCCGTTCTGCTGGCTGCCGTGTGGGGCACGGGAAGGGACTCCGCGCCCGCCCGGCCGTTCTGCGGCTGCCGTCGGCGTAGTGCCCAAGGATTGTGTTTCTGAGGGGTCTGTGAGGATGGCAGCCCTTCACCCCTTCCTGCTGGCAGCCCTGCCCCGGCAGAGGTTGGAGCTGGATGGTCTTAAGGCCCTTCCCAGCCCGAGAGCGCTATGATTCTATTATTTCACAGGGCGGCTTCTTGTTTCCTGAAGATACGTTTAAGTTCTCGGTTCTTCCCCTGGTTTTCTGTTTCTGTGAATTGCTGTGCTTGCTGAAGCAGACGTTGCTCATCTGAGCTCTTACGTAAGTTACTATGAGTACTACAGCATCCAGGCAGCGCTCCAAGCCGGCGTTCCTGGCCCCGCGCGTTCTGACTTACAGCGGCATTGAGAGAGTTGTGCAGTGGCAGCAGCAGCCTGCAGGCACCACAACTGGATCGCTGGCTCCACCTGGGCAGTCGCAGCCTCCTTCGCTCTTGCCTTGAAGAAGCTGAGCTGCTGTCAGCGATTAAAGGTGGTTAACAGACCCCGGTAGCATAAGAACCGGAGCCGATGTTGTAATGTGGTAGAAACCAGGCGTTTAACAAGAATATAGGTGAATCCCAGGGAGAGCCATTCTTACAAGAAAAGCCACAGCCATCCTAGACACACAGGAGTAATTATACGTAGGTAGCTCTGAAAGTAATGTCTCCTGTTAATTTCCATGGAAACTACAACAGGTGCAAAGAGCACAATAACGCTATTTGATAAAGCGAATACTCAGCTACAAATCGCCATTTGATTTTAATAGTCACCACTGTTAGCTGTGCACTTTTGCCATACAAACAAGCAATCAGTTCCTAAACGTACCTGTTAATTTGCTAAACAAGAAATTCTATCCCTTGTTATAGGGAGGTGTAACTTCTAAGCAAGCTGTGGAATGCTAAGCTTCAGTGACGTGCTCAAAAGCAGATGGGTGTGGATGCATTGAGGATGGAGAACTGTCACCTGCTGCAGGGGTGCTGTTTGCTCAGTCTTCTTCCATTTGCCCTTTGGTGTGGGCCAGAAGAGTGACAGAAAAAGCATTGCTGGGCTTTGCACCAGTCTTGCAGCAAGAGTAGGGCTGAGTTCCGAGAATGTTTGGTAACTCCTTTCACAGTTCCTTCTCTGAGTTTTACATCGGCCTTTTCCCTCTGAACTGAAGTAGGAAGATGAGATGGAAAACTTTGAGTGGAGTTTCAGTTCTTCTTTATTAGAGGCACACTCCTTACAGTGACAAAGCATGCACAAGCGTGGGGAATGACTGCTGTGTGTCAGAGAAGGAAGAGAGTTGTGGGCTTTTGTGTTCTTCCTATTTTCTGTACTTCATAGGAGGATTGGTGTATCTAATGTTCCTCCTCCTGCTCCCAAGCTCCTTTGCTCTGATTGTACAAAGGCTTTTCCTATATAGAAACCCAATTTTAAGTTTTTTGAAAGTTCTGGTAACCAGATCAACAGCTCATACAGCTACCGTGTAACATACTTTGTGTATATAATATGATTCATGTAACATGAATACTCCAGAAATTGTCTCCAGATCATCAGCATAACATTCTGAATTCTTAATATAAGCAGCATAAAATCCCAAACATTCAAACATGAATGCAGATATTGAGGATGTGTAAGGACTTCTGCCTCTTTTCTCTGCCTTAGTTGAGTATTACTGCATGAAGTACTGTGCAATTGCTACTGCTGTGTCCCTATTTACTAGAAAACAGTGTCTTCTGATCATTGGTCATCATACTTCATAGGTACAGACAACTCAGATGAATTATTCCTTCTGATGAACTGCTGTTTTTTCTCCATTTAATAGCTTTATCCCTCTCTTCTACAGTTACATATGGGTGGTTTTTGTTATTTCATTTTTCTTTGCTTTTGCTTGTTTTTTTTTTTGTTTTTTTTTTTAGGAGACTGTATTCATAGTCACCTTGGAGATTATAATGACATTTTACAACTCTATTATTTTTGCTTACAGCTGAAGGTTTAGAAACAAAGCAGCAGAAGTTTAACATGCGAGATGAGCAGGGTTGAGTTTTGCAAGCATTAAGACAAACAGAGAAGTCACACTTCAGACTGTCATCCAATAGGTGCTGTCTGTGAGAGATATCTGCTTGTGTCAACAAGTGGTGTGGGATTAATGGAACTGTAACATCTGGGTCACTGAGTCAGTCTCTCTGCTGCTTCCCAGAAAGAACTGACCTAACCTAGGCCTTTTGTTCTTTAAAAAGTACTGTAATAGAAGAACAAGGATTAAGCCCTGCTTAAGAAGAAAGGTATTTCACTGGATACAGCTGCTCATCTCTGCTTGCCCTGGGACTGTTAGTCTCACTGCCCCACATGTGTTTTCTGGCTGCTGCCATTCACATCTGCTGCACTTTATGAGCTTAAACAGCACTGCAAATTCTGACTGCAACCAGTGACAGTGCGCTGCAAGGCCAAGGCAGAAGAAAATTCAGATAAAATGTGGATCAAGGGGCTCAGAATCCCACCGTGATTTCCAGAGATGTACCTCAGCAGCTGGAAACATCAGACAGACACTGATCTGGCCTCTGGCTGAGCTCATACATGCTCTCAGGACACGGTGACTGCAATTTACTATGGAGCTCTAAGAAGCAACTCAGTCCACTGCACTGGATTTAACTCTTCTGCCCCTATGGTTTGTAGTTTGTCTTCATAATCTTTTTCCTCTCTTCATCTTCTCAGGATCAGTTTTGATTCTGGGCTAGAATCATTATAGAGGGGCCACAGATACCAGCAACGTGTTCCTGTGAACATGTGCCAGAGAAACAGGTGTTATTTAGTATTGATTTGGGCTCTCTGAAAGTACTCGGCACTGTACAGAACAAAGCAGACAACGGAGTTGATGACAACTTCTAACAAGATGTGTGCTGAACAGTGAAGACATCTAAACCAGCTTGCTATGGAAACTGAAATAATGGGCTTGTGAAGTGTACCAAGCAAATGCTTACAAGGTTCCTTTGAGCTTCATCCTCCAAGTTGCAAAACAGTAAGATAGGTTTTCTTATTTGATCAAGAAGTTAGGATTGTTCAAGAAGTATTATGGAAAGCAACTGCATATTAAGAAGAGAAACTGCCTGTCAGTGGTAGGGCTCTGTATCTGATACTGTGTAACTAAGTGAGGTATAGGTAGACTGTGTGAAGAGAGAAATTACTATGATAATAAAAAAATCATAGAATACCCTGAGTTGTAAGGAATGGACAAGGCTCACCAAATCCAACCCCTGGCTCCACGCAGGGTCACCCAGCAATCAGACCACAAGAGAGGTGTCCATACAGCCCTTGAATTCCAGCACTGGATGCCCAGAGCCCTGGGCATCCCGTTCCGTGCCCACCGCCCTCCGGTGCAGAATTTTTTCCTAACCCCCAGCTGCCCTCCCCTGACAGCTCCATGCCGTTCCCTCGGGAAAGCAGCGATCTGAATGCTGTTGTTAAACACGAGATACACCCATGAAAGCCGTCTCCGACAGATTCAAGAGGACACGACGTCTGTGAGGCAGGCAGCTCACCAGAGCCAGCGCGCAGCGTCTCCATCCTGGCGGGCCCGCGGGACGCTTCGGCAGGCAGCACCGCGGGCTGCGGCACGTGGGGTAACCAGCTTCCAGGTTCCGCACAGACCGCCAGGACTCCTCCTGAAAGCGGCGCAGCCGAAGCAGCTCAGGGGCTGGCGCGCGGCAGGGAAAATACGGCATACAGTTGCGAAGTTCTTCCTCGTTTCCCTGGTACCTGCGCGGTTAAAACGAGCAGTAGCTTCAAAAGACTTCTAGCAACCGCGCGTGCGTTCCGTCGAACTTTTATTCACTCCGGTCCCGCAGCTCAGAACTTCCAGAGCAGTGCGAGCACAGCTTCCCCTCAGCGCTCCGACCCAAGAACGGCTGCAGCGGGACCGCCCCGGGAGGCGCGGCGCCGCGGGCCCCTCCTCTTCCTGCGCCGCGGCTGTAGCTACCCCGCTCGCCGGCTGTCTCTCTGCACAGGCGGCGCGGCTGTAGCGGCGGGCTGTTCGTCGGCTTCTCCTCTCGCCCCCTCCCTCCGCTCGGAGAGGCGGGGCCGGCGGTGCGGCCATGCTGCTCGGCGCGGCGGTCCGGCGGTGCCGGGTCGGCGGCGTCGTGGCGAGGCGTTGGCGGAGCGGGGAGGCGCGGCGGAGGGAGTGGGTGCCGCCGGAGGGCCGGGCGTGCGGAGTGGTGGCGTACAACAGCCGGAGCCGCAGCAAAGAGCCGCTGGTGCTGGCCAAGGACGGCGTGGCCACCTGGTAACGGGGCGCCCGGGGGCTGCGGGGTGCCGCCTTCGGCCCGGCGCGGGGTGACGGGCGCCGTGTGTGCTCTCTCGGCAGGTACAGCTGCGGGCCCACCGTGTACGACCACGCGCACCTCGGGCACGCCTGGTGAGTGCGAGGGCTGCGGGTGTCCTGGGCGGGTAGTGGAGGAGACCCTGCCTTTGTGTCGGTGTGATTTTGGTAGAGTGCGTTGTTCCGAGTCTCGCTATGGCAGCTGTTAGTTCTTTCATCTTTGTCTTACTCTCTTCTGCTAGTGCTGCTCGGGCGTGTGTGATGCTCTTCTAACGGAGTATCACTAATGAAACTTTGTTCTGAGTAAGGAGAGCTTGCACAGCAGGACGATCATAGAATCATAAAATCGCTCAGGGTTGGAAAAGACCTTAAAGATCATGGAGTCCAACCACAACCTAACCACACTACCCTAACTCTAACAACTCTCCGCTAAATCATGTCCCTGAGCACCACATCCAGATGGTTTTTAAACACATCCAGAGTGGTGACTCAACCACCTCCCTGGGGAGCCCATGCACTTAGCAGGGCAGAGGACTGCACTTTTTGGGCTCACATCCTCAAGAGATGCAGAGGTTTTGGTCGGTGGTTCTCCATCTTATTCTGATTGAAAGGAAGCCCTGCATGCTCTGCTTGCTCTGGTACCCATATCTTTTTATCCTCTGCCCAAACGACCACTTTCAAGCTTCAGTTACTGTTGTATGAAAAACAGCTGGGGCTGAAAAACACCCAGAGCAGTGTGTCATGCAGATAAGCAGCAGCATTACCATTCTGCTGCTGACTCTTCAGTGCCTTAACGGGTTGTTTCCTATAGTAGAACGAGATGCCTGCACTGAAGATCATCTTTTTTTTTGGTCAGGTGAACCCTTCAATGAGAGAGGCATTAACCATTCTTTCCAGTGTCTGCAGTCATGTGTATGTCAGTTTTGGCATTTTGTTGCTCAGCTGCTTTGTTCTGGATGCCAGAACATACTTTATTATTATTACTATTATTATTGCTGCTATTGTTATTATCAGAGGGGCAGCTCTGCTCTCTGTGACAGCGCCAGGGCCCAAGGGAACGGCATGGAGCTGTCAGGGGAGGGAAAGCTGGGGGTTAGGAAAGCGTTCTTCACCAGAGAGTGGTGGGCATGGAACAGGCTGCGCAGGGCAGTGGGCACAACTCCAAGCTGCCAGACTTCAAGGGGTGTTTGGACACTGCTCTCAGCCATGTGGGCTGATTGTTGGGTGGTCCTATGTGAAGCCAGACTTGATGATCCTTGTGGGTTCCTTACAACTCAGAATATTCTATGATTCTATATTATATTTTTAAATTTTTTTGTTCCAGTTGCTAGGCCCACCTGTAGAGCTGTAAGGATATTGCTTTGGTTGGCACTGCTGGGAGTCTACAGGGCAGGAAGCACACTGGGAATAAATATCAAGTTAAGTGGAGCGATGGCTCTTGCTGTGGTGGCCTTCCTGTAGAAGTCCCTTGTTGTGCTGCACCTTTGCAGCATCTGATCTCATCACAAGAATTCAATAAGTGAAGGCATGTTGTCATCTGGACTTCTGCAAGGCCTCTGACAAGGTCCTTCTGAGTCGAGGCTGGTAACAGTGTTTCCCAGGGATCTGTCCTGGGTCTGGTACTATTTAACATCTTTATCAGTGACATAGATGATGGGATCAGGTGCACCCTCAGCAAGTGTGCTGATCATACCAAGCTGAGCTGTGCAGTTGAGACAGCAGAAGGAAGGGATGCCATCCAGAAGGAACTTGATAAACTCGAAAGATGGGCCCTTGTGAACTTAATGAGGTTTAACAAAGCAAATTGCAAGGTTTTGCACTTGGGTTGAGGTAATCCCACATATGTATACGAGCTGGGAGAAGAACTCCTTAAGAGTAGCCCTGCTGAGAAAAACTTAAAGGTTGTGGTTGATGAAAAACTGAACGTGAGCTGGCAGCGTGTGCTTGCAGCCCCGAAGGCCAATGGTGTTCTGGGTTTTATCAGAAAGGAGTGGCCAGCAGGGACAGGGAGGTGATTGTCCTCATGAGGCCTCAGCTGGAGTACCCCAAGTCTGGGACCCTCAACACAGGAAAGATTTGGAGCCTTTGGAGAGGGTCCAGAAGAGTGCCGTGAGGTTGATCCAAGGGCTCGAGCACCTCTCCTGTGAAGACAGGCTGAAGGAACTGGGCTTGTTCAGCCTGGAAAAGAGAAGGCTGAAGGGAAACCTCATTGTGACCTTCCAATTTTTAAAGGGAGTTTATGAACAGGAGGGAAATAAGCTTTTTACACAGGTAGATAGTGATAGGACAAGGGAGAATGTTTTTTAAACTAAAGAGAGATTTAGGAGATTTAGACTAGATGTCAGGAGGAAGTTCTTTACTGAGAGAGTGGTGAGGTGCTAGAACAGGTTTTCCAGAGAGACTGTGGGTGTGCCTTCCTTGGAAATGTCAGATTGCCCAGGGCCAGGTTAGATGGAGGGGCCCTGGGCAATATGATCTAGTACTTGGTCAAGTGGCTAGCAGCCCTGCCTGTGGCAGGGGGATTGGAACTCAATAATCCTTGAGGTGCCTTCAACCATTGCCGTTGTATGATTCTATGATAAATCCTGCATGCTACTGTTCCTGGTGTGGCACCCCCAAAAAAATGGTGGGGAGTTGGAAGGGACTTGTAAGGTCATCTAGTCCAATTGATCAGGGTGCTCAGAGCTCCCTTTGGCCTGACCTAGAGTGTCTCCAGGGATGGGGTATCCACTGAGCCTACCAGGGGTGGTCTGAGCCTACCAGGGGTGGTGCTCTGCTAGACCTGATCTTTGCTAACAGAGAAGGACTGGTGGGAGATGTGAAGGTTGGGGACCGTCTTGGGCAGAGCAACCATGGAATTGTAGAATTCTCTATTCTTGGGGGTGTCAAAAGAGTGACCAGCAAAACTACTTTCTTGAACTTCCGGAGGGCAGACTTTGATCTGTTCAGGGCGCTTGTAGCACAGGTCCCTTGGGAGTTGCTTCTTAAGGGTAAAGGGGTCCAGGAAGCCTGGACGCTCCTCAAGACGGAGATCTTAAAGGCGCAAGAACAGGCTGTCCTGAGTGCCGTAAGGCGAGCCGCAGGGGTAGATGACCGGTGTGGATGAGCCGGGAACTACTGTTGAGACTCCGGGAGAAAAAGAAGTCTACGTCCTCTGGATGAAGGGACAGGCTAGTTGGGAAGATTACAAGGAAGTAGCTAAGGTATGCAGGGAGGAAGTTAGAAGGGCAAAAGCCCAACTTGAACACAGATTGGCCACTGCAGTAAAAGACAATAAAAAATCCTTTTGTAAATATATTGACAACAAAAGAAGAACTAAGGATAATATCTCATCCTATACTTGATGCAGCAGGGAATGTGGCCACTGAGGACAAGGAGAAGGCTGAAGTCCTCAATGCCTCCTTTACATCTGCCTTTAATAGCCAGACCAGTTATGCTCTGGGCATTTTATGCCCTGATCTGGAATCTGGGACGCTACTCAGAAAACACCCCCAGTGATTCAGGTGGAGACAGTCAGGGAGTCCTCCATCTAGACTGTCACAAGTCCATGGGACCCGATGGCCTACACCCTCGGATGCTGAGGGAGCTGGCGGGGGTGATGGCCGAGCCGCTCTCGGCCATCTATCAGTGCTCCTGGTTCACTGGAGAGGTCCCAGAGGATTGGAGGCTTGCTGATGTGACTCCCATCTTCAAAAAGGGCCGTAAGGAGGATCCGGGGAACTATAGGCCTGTCAGCCTGACCTTACTACCGGGGAAAGTCATGGAGCAAATCATCTTGGGTGAGATCGCATGGCATGTGCGTAGTGTCCAGGGGATCAGGCCCAGCCAGCATGGGTTTGTGAAAGGCAGGTCATGCTTGACCAACCTCATCTCCTTCTACAACTGGGTGACCAGACTGGTAGATGAGGGAAAGGCTGTTGATGTAGTCTACCTAGACTTTAGCAAAGCCTTTGACACAGTCTCTCACAGGCTTCTTCTGGGGAAACTGGCTGCCCGTGGCCTGGACGGGTACACACTCCTTTGGGTAAGAAACTGGCTGGAGGGCCGTGCTCAACGGGTGGTGGTTAATGGAGTGAAGTCCAGCTGGCGGCCCCTTTCAAGTGGTGTCCCCTAGGGGTTGGTACTGGGGCCTATCTTGTTTAATATCTTCATTGATGACCTAGACGAGGGGATTGAGTGTACCCTCAGTAAGTTTGCAAATGACACCAAGTTGGGAGGTGGTGTTGATCTGCCTGAGGGTAGGGAGGCCCTTCAGAGGGACCTGGATAAGCTGGATTGCTGGGCTGAGGTGAATGGGATGAGGTTCAACAAAGCCAGGTGCTGGGTCCTGCACTTTGGCCACAACAACCCCATGCAGCGCTAAAGGCTTGGGGATGAATGGCTGGATGACTGTGAAGAGGAAAGGGACCTGGGGGTGTTGGTTCATACTCGGCTGAACATGAGCCAACAGTGTGCCCAGGTGGCCAAAAGGGCCAGCGGCATCCTGGCCTGCATTAGAAATAGTGTGGCTAGCAGGAGCAGGGAGGTGATCATCCCTCTGTACTCAGCACTGGTGAGGTCACACCTCGAGTACTGTGTTCAGTACTTCCCAGCTCTTTCAGCCTGTCCTCATAGGGAAGGTGTTCCATCCCTTGGATCATTTTTGTGGCCTTCCTCTGCACACACTCCAGCAGGTCCACATCTGTCCTGTACTGAACTCCACATCTGGATACAGTATTCCAGGCGAAGTCTCACCTGTGCAGAGTAGAGATGCAGGATCACCTCCCTCAGCCTGCTCACCATGCTTCTTCTGATGCAGCCCACAGTGTAGTTAGCTTTCTGGGCTGCTGGAGCACCCACTTCATTTGAACTGCTTTCTTCTTTGCAGTTTGATGCTGAAGTTGTAAGGAGCCTGCTTTCTGAGATTTACTTGGGCTATTGCAGTGCTTCTTCCATCGATTAAGTTAGAAGATCAGAGGGGAGAGAACAGCCCAGAGATTGTATATGCCCTGGAAATTAAATCTGCAGCACTGTTCAATCTGATTTTAAGCTTTTTGATGCTGCTATTGTCCCTTTGAAAGGGATCCAAAGAATAATTTAATATTCTTCTGGAATAGTGTCATGACATGAGGTGAATATTGCTCCCAGTGAGCTGGTATTAACAGTAGCGTGTGGCACATTCCAAAAGGCCTTTTTCTAATATGGGCACAGTGCAAACAACATCAGAAATGTATTTTTCTTCATTAAGATACTGCACATGCTGAAATCATCACAGAATTGTTTGGGTTGGAAGGGACCTTAAAAGACCATCTTGTTCCAACCCCCTGCCATGAGCAGGGACACCTCCCCATCCAACTCTATGGCTTGAACACCTGTGGGGATGGGGCATCCACAGCTTCTCTGTGTAGCCTGTTCTGGTGCCTCATAATCCTAGTCTTGGAGGGTTTCTTCCTTACATCTAATCTAAACCTACTCTCTGTTTAAAGCTACTACTCCTTGTCCTGTCATTACACTCCTTAATACTCCCTCCCCATCTTTCCTGTAGGCATTTCCGGGAAGGCTGCAGTGAAGTCTCCCTGGAGCCTTCTCCAGGTTGATCAATCCCAACTCCCTCAACCTCTCTTTGTAGGAGAGGTGGTGCAGCCCTCTGATCATCTTTTTTGCCCTCCTCTGGAGCCATTCCAGCAGCTCCGTGTCTCTTAATGCTAACTGATATCTGCAGCTGACGAAAAGGGTACAGATCCACTGATGATGTTTTCCTACATGTATTTGCTTTGGCAGATGCTGTGGGTGCATCCCAGCCAGGGCAGTGGGTGCCATGGAGAGCTGCAGGTCTTGAGGTTTCCTTTACGCCATTGTGTGTGGGTCTGTCTGTCCACACTGAATGTTCATTGTTGTCACGTAGAGCCTGGATGATGCTGAAAATTTATTCTTGAGTCTAAATAAAACAAAATAACCCCCAGAGCAACTCTTCTTTGCTGTCAGAAAACATCTGTGGTGATGTGTTAATGAAATGTAGCTGTTCTTGTATCTGTAGCTACCACTCATCTGTGAGCAGTGTTGAAGTGAGTTGGTTTGTTTCTCTATGTTCTGGGCTGTGGGCTTTGAGAACCTGCTAGCATACAGACTAAGGTGGTTTTCTTTTTAGGATCAGCTTATATGTCATGTTATTGTTCTTTGGAAGAGTCTTTTGCTTAAGAGGCAGTTTCAAAAGCACCCCGGTGTTATCATAAAGAGATGCAAAAGAACGGAGAAAATTTGCTGTAATGTGTCACTAATGCCAGAAGAGGGTAGAGCAGTTCAACTGAAATTTACTTGACTTCTGTGCAGATTGGAACTAATTTTGGAAAAGCATTTTATGTACTTGAGACCTTCTTTTGCAAGTATTTGGGTATTCGGGGGTATCTGTACAGCTGTCATTTTTATCAGAGTTTTATTCATATTAACTGCATCTCTAAAAGCTCCTCTTTCTCTTTTCCAGCTCCTATGTTAGGTTTGATATAATCCGAAGGATATTGACTCGTTTTTTTGAAACTGAAGTTATCATGGTGATGGGGATTACAGACATAGATGACAAGATCATAAAAAGAGCCAATGAGGTAGGTATATAAAGCTACAGCTTTAGACCCAAACGTTTGGTAGGTCCTACTGCTAGTTATATAAGGAGATATTCTACATTTGTTTGGTTGTTGTTTTAGTACTATATATATTTTTTAATTTAGATAAGAAATTTTGAGATTTCTAGCCCTCTATCTGCACCTGAGGCAGTAGTCCTCATAGTCCCATGCCTTGTCTGGAAGGCAGTGGAAAATAAAAAGCCATAATGTCTCTTTACTAGAATTGAAACGAACTGAAACTTTCAGCCAGCAGAGTTCTGTCTGTTTTCTGTGTCACTGATTGTTAAAGACATTGTGTAAATGATGATACACAAGATTGAGGGCAGTTCCTAAAAGGTGCCGAGCACCATCTAGCTGCAAAGTCAGCACCTTCAGAAGTGTCCTCAACCTAGTCTGAAATCATGGCCTGCTTAAATGCTGACACAATGTATGGGTAAGTCTTGACACTGTGCTTGGTGGCAAGATCGATACAAAAATTGTGAATTAAAAAAATAAATCAACACAATCCAACTTTTCACTGAATTCTCAGAGTTATTGGCCTCATTAAAGGCTTTATGGCCATAAGTAGCCCCTAGTTGGTTTTTAATCAGACCTTTTGTATCAGCTGAGCTTGTGAATGGCTATTCCAATTTCTTTTTTTAGTGTTTTTTGGACTGTAAAATGCCGCAAATGTATTCTGCTTTATAAACTTCTTTTAAATAAGCATTATATTGGTTTTTGAAATCTGGATTGTGAATGAAATGTACTGCAATTACAGTTGCAAGCCTTATGCTTGAGCCAGATAATTTGACAGGTATCATTTTATTTAATCCTTACATAAACAATTACTGTTGCAGTACTGCATTGAAAAGAATGCTAGCACTGCTCTCTTTAAGAAATATATTTGTTCCCTTAGAAACTTCACTTGCAGGTTTTATTTTTGAGGCCAGCACTTTCTGACAACAAGAAAAAGCCACAACTGTTTTAAATCTATATGCCTGTATTTTACGTTTTTTCTTTGTCAGAACCCTGTGGGGATTTTATTTTGAGGGTAATGTGTTCAGTTCTTCCATTCTTTGGTTCTATGAGGAAATCTTCTTTGTGGCATATTTTTTCTTTTTGAAATACTTGCCCTTCTGTGCACGTTTGTTGGGGACCTCTGTACCTGAAACACTACAACACCAGGATCAATGTATCTGACTTTGTTGTCCATCCTCTGTTGGGACTCATCTATACAGAATCTGAAAGTTGGGCATCTGCTCTGTGAGGAGAGTGCTCTGTTCCCCCCGTGGTCCTTTGAGGAAGAGATAAATTGGATGCCCATCTGGATGGGAGGGATTTCCTTGTCTCCTAGTGAATGTCTTTCTGTTGATCAAAGAAGCGTCTGAGTTGCTTGTTGAGATGAACCACATCACAGAACAGCCCTCTGTCTGGTGTGCAGGCAGAAGCATGGCTTTGCCTCATTGCTGAGTATCTTCCTCCTTCCATTGCTGGATGAGCATCATGTCTGTCTTTTACCAGAACTCCCACCTAGACCAGCTTGTTCAGATATGATACCCACCCCTCAAAGATCCTCTAGTAAAAAATTTTGATTTCTTGTGTTAATGATTTGATTATGTGCAAGCTGGAGAGAGTGGCAATCTGTTGGCTCCTCCTTGGTGGGTTGTACTCAGAGAAGATGTAAAAGCTTGGATTTGAGATGCTCTCATATAGAATCACAGAATGGTTTGGGTTGGAAGGGAACTTTAAGATCACCTAGTTCCAATTCCCTGCTATAGGCAGGGACACCTCCCATTAGACCAGGTTGCTCAAAGCCTCATTCAGCCTGGCCTTGAATGCTTCCAGGGAGGGGAAATCCACGACCTCGCTGTCCCAGTGTCTCACCACCTGCCCAGTAAAGAATTTCTTCCTAATATCTACTCTAAATCCACCCTCTTCCGATTTAAAACCATTTCCTCTGTTTTTTTACTACATGCCCTTACAAAAAGTCCCTCCCCAGCTTTCCTGTAAGGCCCTTCAGGTACTGGAAGTCCGCTGTAAGGTCCCCCCAGAGCCTTCTCATCTCCAGGCTGAAAAGCCCCAGCTCTCTTGGCCTGTCCCTGTAGGTGAGTTGCTCCAGCCCTCTGATCATCTTCATCGCTCTCCTCTGGACCTGCTCCAAAGCTCTCTTTCTTTCTTGTGTTGGGGGTTCCAGAACTGGACGCAGTACTCCAGTGGGGTCTCACAAGAGCATATATCCTATCATATCATATCATGCTTTTGCTTGCTGGGACGGGATTTGCCATCACGTGTCTTTCAAGTCCTGGCCTGTTCCAAATATCTGAGATGAGTATCTTGTCATGTTTAAATTGCCTCTTTCCTTTTGGATTGCATTTCTGTGAGTACTCCCGTTTCTGTCAGTCAGTCTGTGAATGAGAAATGTGGAGATGTTTGAGAAGTACTGCACCTAGCAAAATATGGAACTGGCTCTCAGTTAATTTTCCTGATTGTACTGAAATATGTGAGTAATGATCAGCTGAAATATCTTATTTTTCTTAATCGCTACAAATTAATATCCTGACTCATCCTACAAGTCTTTGGTCTGTCTTTTTGACATGTTGGTGGTATTGGTGTCCCCTGCCAATAGGTGGAATGCATTTTAAATCCATGTGCTGTAGTATATCTTGTCACTGGAAATGGAAGATGACCCTCTTAAGAGGAAAATAAAGGAGGAGGGAAGGAATTCATTATTTTAATATTTGGTTGCTTTCTCTTAAAAGATACCTTAATATTTTGGCAATTCAGAGGCCTAGATGAAATACTGCTCTTAAGTTATAAATAGCTGGCATCGCCTCCCCATGAATGTTAGTTAGATTAATAAGCCTCTCTGCCTCGTTACCTTGGGGGCTCTGTAAGTCCTCCAACAGCTGTTAACTGTCTGATAAAAGTTTGTGGTGCTTTATGTTATTACTTTGATTTACTAATCTTTTTTTTCAGATGAATATATCGCCAGTAGCTCTTGCTCGTATGTATGAAGAAGACTTTAAACAAGATATGGCATCATTAAAGGTACTTGAGCTTCTGCATTTTAGAGTCTTTCCAAGCAGTTATTTTGGTCAGGAATCTGAATTTGACAGTTTGATCTGAGGAGGAAAAAAACCAACAAAACATGATTGGTTGCTTGTCTTATGAAGTGTTCAGTGGCTGGGCAGTGTTTTACTTTGTCATTATTTTGAGGAGACAAAGGCTTTGTATTGCACATCTTTTGGTTAAAAGTGGGAAAGGAAGCAAACTTTGTCTATTCAGAAAGGGGGAATGAACAAGTTAAATTTGTAAAGGAGCACAGACTTTCTGCCCTGTGTAATAAGGTCTTGATTCATAGATAATATGTGTTTACTATCATGCAGAAATATCCAGACCTAAAGTATATAAAACATCTAATATTCATTCTTTGATTGCAGATGACTTTGCTTCTTGTCCAGAAGCAGGAAATAAGCCTCTGGTGAAAGCTAGTAGATTTATTTATTTATTATATCTGTCTCTTTCTCAATTTCATTTTAATATTATCTGCATGTTAAATACTGCTTGTGACCTTCTTCTGATATATGCAGGTTTGGCTTTTTTTTGCTAAGATAAGAATTGGGACAGATGTTCTTTAGAGTCAGTTTCTTAATTTGGAGTGGCTTGTCAGCAGTGCATTATGTGGGGGTTAATGAACTGTTACAATTTCTTTACTTAAGGTCCTTCCTCCGACAGTATATATGAGAGTGACTGAAAACATTCCTCTGATAATTTCCTTCATAAAGACAATAATTGCTAATGGACAGGCTTATGCAACTTCACAAGGTAAGATTTGTAGCAAGGCAACTCCTTGTTTGCCATGCGATAACAAGAACTCAAAGGGATCCTATTTTGGAGTCAGATGAGATATGCTGTACCAGATTTTCCTTATGTTGATTATCACGGTGTGAGCAACTTGCTTGTTACAATACAACAGTGCAGAACAACTCTTGAGTCAATATCTAAACAAGAAGTAATTCAATACTGAACATAAATGTTTATTGTAATAAGCTGCTGTCTCAGCTCCTGTGGAGAAGTCCTGGCCTAGGTTTTGTGTGGGAGCTGGGGGTTAGCTCTGTTAGCTCTGAACAGGAGTTGGACATCTCATATGTACTGTAAAAGTCATACCTGCAAACAGCGTGTGGGAAATTTTTAGTAGAGCTGATGCTTGTAGAAGAGTGTTAAGTATATTGTAACTGGAACAGTATAGGTAATGCTTCAGTCATGGGATGGATCACTTGTCCTGGGGAGAACCCAGGGAGATCTCCAGAAAACAATGTTATCTTCAGTGCAAAGTGAGTAAATTAGGTTACTGGAAAGCTAGTAATGGGGAAATGTGGGCTGCTACTGCTGTAGCATTTCTGAATTTCAAATGGAAGTCCAAGGGTGTTTTATTTTGCTTTTGTGGAAATGTTGTCTCCATTGTATCAACAGAGTGAATGTTCCCCATCTTCACGTGAAGCTAAATATTTCTTTTCTATTAGGCAATGTTTATTTTGATGTCAAGTCTTGGGGAGAAAGGTATGGAGTATTAACTGCTGTTTCTGCTGATACACAAAGTGAAGCAGGTAAGTTCCTGGTAGCAATTTGTCTGTTAATGCTTTGTCTGAACTCACGATGTATTGATATATAAACCTTCATTCAACAGTCTGAAGCAGTTTTTTAACTTGTTGTACATAGGCAGCTTTTTTAGTTAATTAGAACATCATTGTTTTAGTAGTTACTTATTGAGGCATGCACTGTTGCCAGTGCAAGAGAGGAAGCTTGGTGGTGTCTTTTTATGCTTGTTTTTCTCTCCACTTTTGTTCCAGTACCTTACAACAATTGTGGTTCTTAATTTTATTTAAATCCTTGGAGCAATACATACTGAATAGCGAGGTGATGCTCTCAGCCCACACACTAGGCAGCAGTGAGGGCTGGCAGGGAGAAACATCACCTGCCTTGTTATAGTTGGGCAGTTGGACCCTACTGGTGTGCACTAACCAGACGCATTTACATCTTTCATTGGTTACCACCAGACTACTGTCTAGCAAAATGGTCGTGTGAGCTCTCTTGGTGGGCTGTGGTAACACATACCTGTACCCTTGGTTGTATTCTATTTTCACTGCAGTTTTGCTGAGCAGGATTGCTGATCCTCTCTGTAGTTTCTCTAAATCAGCTATGATCAAGTCTCTGTGTAGGAGAGTTTAAAACAGATCTCCTGCATGCTTTGTGTGTTGAAGTTCACTGTGTCTTCATTGAAAATGTTCTGTTTGCAATTCCTGAAAATGCCCAGGAGGTGATATTCAGGTGAGTTGCAGCCAGAAGCTTTTTACAGCTCTGCTCTGGAGTTGTATCATTAAAACCCACAAAGGGAATGTGTTATAGAGGCAGTTCCTGACTAGCTGCGGGCACCTAGTAGTATGGGGGTCTCCACTGAGTACGGCTAGGGATGTGCTGTGTCTCACTGCACTGTTAAACCTCCTGCCTTCACAGGATTTCTGCATACAGTACTAAACAAGAATGTAGTTGGGCAGAGGATACTAGCACTAGGTTGTGGAGTCTCTTCCCTTGAGGGTGCTCACAGTTCCACAGGATGTGGCTCTGAGCCTCCTGCACTGAGCAGGTGGTTGCACAAGACACTTTCCAGAGGTGCCCCTGAGCCTCAACCACTCATGTTTTACCTTGTTTCCCTTCAATTCACTTACTATTCAATTTACTTTAATCTCTGAAGATTCTGTGACTGTGTTATTGAATTTATAACCGAGTAGACAGAGTGATTTTTTTTTTTTGTAGAAATGTGCTGAAAAAAATCAAGAGAGACATGGAGTCAACAGGCACAAGTCAGCCAGGGCTTGGCAAAATAGTGAAAGAGCCAAGGTGAAGATTCAGTAGATAAAACTGGGCTGTGTTTCTATCCTTTATTTCTTATCAATTTTGAATGATGAAGCAGGTGTAATGGATTTTTATAAAGTGCTTTACTTAATATTGTGTGACATTCTGAATTAAAACTGATTCTATATGATATCAATAAAGTACAATTAGAATAGATTGAAAAAAGTGACCATCTGAGCTCCAAAAATGTATTGGTATTGGAATGCTAGGGGATAAGATTAGACTCAGTCATGCACACTGTTTTTGTTAGTGATCTGGTAGAAGCAGAGGAAAGAAGTAAATCTAACTTCTATCTGCTGATAAAACAGATGAACAATGTTGAGTATTGAAGGATTTTTACTAATTCTGCTGCTGCAGTGCAACCTGTTTGTCCTAGGAAACTGATTGATAAGTAAGCAAATGGATGATATAAGACTGGAGAAGGCTGAAAGGATTGGAAGGATACGATGTATTAAAGCATCTTAAATCCAGATGCTTATCCATCTTCTTAGCCTGCAGAAATCTGCTTCAACATATATACAATTTTTTTTTTAAACAGGATGAGAAAACTGGAAACCGAGTATAAGCGGGAAAAGAAAAAAGATGGAGGAAAATTTGGGCAAAGAGAATAAAATCTAAGTAGTTCACTAAGCATGCATTTCTACTTTGTTTCATTTGTTCACTCTGTGTTTCTGAGGCATGTCCCATTAACGACTCTCTTTTCTGTGGCAGTTGATACCGATAAGCGGCATGGTAGAGATTTTGCCTTGTGGAAAGCTGCCAAACCTGGAGAGTTATCGTGGAGTTCTCCCTGGGGAAAGGGAAGACCTGGGTGGCACATTGAATGCTCCACGATATCAAGGTCAGATTTTTCGTATTTTAAATCTATCTATTGCTGTTTCTTGTTTTCAGCCACAGTACAATGGCAGCAGCAGTGCTGCTTTTTTCTTCTCATCAGTAGAAAGAACAAGTTTTAATTTATTTGCTGCAGTTTAGGGATTTTGAGTGTGGCACAAATTCTCCTCCATCTTAATGGAGCAGCATCTGGTTTTATTTTGTCAATTCTCTCCTTTGAGAGAAAAGTGAGCATTTAAAATAAGCCATGCAGGATCACATAGTTGATTAGGGAGTCTTTTAGCTTCAACTGAGTAACCAATGTTTTCATAAAAGTTACAGTATGTCTTTCATCTGTCTTCCACTTTGTGCAATCCATAGTGAACCTGGTCAAGTCTGTGGTGCGGTATGAGGAGGACAGGGCATGGAATTCATCCCAGCTCCAGTGAACATAGGTGATTTTGCTGGCCTCATCTTAGCAGCAGTTGTGGATATGTGTGCTAATTACATCTCTCATTACACAGCTTTTTTTAAAAGTCAGCTGCAGTTTTACATATTCTGTTTTCTCTGTGACAGTATATTCTCTGAGCATGATGCAAATTATGCATGGTAGCAGTTTGTTTAGAGCTGGTTTAAATTAATTTGCTCTTAATTTGAAATTTTGTTTTATTTACTCCACAGAATAGTAGTACTTTGTTTTGCGCAGTTCTAATTTACGACCGATTAATTTGTGTTTAGAAAAGACTCTTAAACTCTTTTCATCCTGAAAGATTGATGATGGTACTTAGTTTTCATTACTCTCAAGTCTTCTTTGGAAACTAATAAGAAATTATTGAGACCTGAGCTGGTTTCTCTTGAATGTTTGGAACCTAAGCTTGAAAGCATGTGGAACAGCTGCTTTAGTTTTCTCTTCCACAGGCTGTGCTGATATACCTAAGGTTGTTAATAATTACTGCTTGATAGTGAAAAACATTTAGAAAAAAGAAATTTTATGTCACTAAACAATTTCTGCACTATAGAACAGTGCTTAAAGCAACTGAAGTACACAAAAGCGTGCTGCATTTGAAGTGCAGCCTATGACAGAAGTGCACTCCAGATAAGAAATAACAACCCTTTACAAAATTGCATATCTGCTATTGTAATGCTGCTTAAAGTATCTGTCTCTTTCTGTGAAAACTTACTTTACTGTGTCTGGATGAGGCTCTCGCCACGTAAATAGGTGTTGAGTCATGCAGAGAGGGTAAGTATAGTAATCTGGAACTGTGAAAAATGGGTAACTTAGACTTTTAAGTTATGTAAAGTGTTTTGCTGTCACAGTCAGCTGTCAGGTACCCATTTTACGCAATTACTACTTGTCTGTTTTGCCTGAGATCTACAAGCTCTTGGAGCTAGGTGAATTAATTTTGAAATATCTTTGAAGTACATGTGTAGGAAGGTGACAGAGGAGCAATGGTGACTGGTGTAGTCCTGCAGAAGGGAGCCGTCTGGTGTGACTTTGATCTGGTCTCCTTTTTGGAGCTTCACTTGCAATGGGATGCACTGCTTCCACAGGCAAGATGAGGTCTCCAGAGGTCTTTGCTTAATCTGATTTTCGAGCAGGCAGAAAGAAGCAGAGGGGCACGGGCTTTCAAAATGGCCACAGAGACACGACACTGTCTTCCTCTTCTGATTTTCTTCTCTTCTTCTGCCCCAACTGAGGTGGTTTAAAAACGTATAAATCAGTACAGATTTATTTCTATAAATCCCTGAAAGAACAGTGCATGAAGGACACAGCCAGGCTCCTTTCAGTGAGACCCAGTGCCAGGACAAGAAGCCATGGACACAAACTGGAATGTAGAGGCTCCTGAACACCAGGAGCACTTCTGCACTGTGCAGGTGATGGAGTGCTGCATAGGCTGCACGGAGGCTCCTGGCCGTGGCCCTGGGCATCCTGCTCTGGGTGGCCTGACAGGTACAAAATAAAAAAATGGTAATACCAAATCTGAAGAAGCAGTTGTCACTGAAGTTGTTTTGACTGCAGATGAAGGCAGCTGTCTGATACTGTAACAGGACAAGGAAGGGAGATGCCCTGCTTGCCATTCTTTAATCAAAATTAGAAAAAAATAATCATTCATACCAAGGAAAATTAATTATGGGCAGGTATGGTCCTGCTCATACATGTACTTCTGCTGCAATTTTGATATCCAAGATCTGTGAAAAGTTCTTTCTTGATGTTACATTACAGTCATTAAATAATGTATTTATATTGCTTCATCTTTCTTTTTTTCTTTTTTACTAAAAGTTTTTGTAGTGTTCTACTTACCCATCAGGAAAATATTGTTACAGTGCAGTGTTTGGAAAGCAGCTGGACATCCATACCGGTGGAATAGATCTCGCATTTCCTCATCATGAAAATGAAATTGCGCAGTGCGAGGTGTATCATCAGTGTGAGCAGTGGGGGAATTATTTTTTGCATTCTGGTAAGTAAAATATTCATCACCTGAGAAGCGTGTAGAACTGTAGAGAACTTTTATATTTTTTTTTTAGTTTTGCCATTTCTGTGGCATGATACATGAGGGGAACTTTACAAATAGATGCTGTACTACAGTGGCCAGGTTCTGTCCTCACTAAATAAAGAAACATAAATGAGAGTGAATCTTGAAATTATACAATGAATGCTTTTATTTACGAAATGGTTACAGTGAAATACTAAATATCATCCGAATCAATCTCGGAATAGTAACAGTGTTTGTATTACCCACATACAGTGTTTACTACTCCTGATGAAAGTGTGGAAAGAACTCTTCCTGTAGAGTCTCTTTCCCTTTCATTTTAATTTCTCCAAAATTTTTATGCTTATGATAGAGTTTCTTTTCAAATTTTGTTTTGGTTATAACAGTCCTGCTGAAGGAGAGTGGAAATAATTGAACTTCTTTGTATGTTCTTCTGAAAGTAGAAATTCCTGCTGTCTTAGAGATAGAACCTTCAGTATCTGGAGGTGGGTGAATGAAGGTGCCAGGTAGACAGGTAGCTGAACATAATATTTTAAAAGCTTTGAAACTGGAATAAACCACTCCAGTTCTCCAATTTGTCTCAGTACCAGTTGCTTGTGGGTTTGAAAGGAAGTTTTAAGCAGAGTGCTGAGCTAAATAGTAAGTATGGTAAAAGGCTTTAATCATGATAGGAAAAAGACATCATACTACTGGAGGATAAGAATAGAGTGGATGCAAAGCTGCCCGAACCAATGAACCAACCAAGCTCACAGCAGTGATCCTGCAGAGAAGCATCTCAGTTGAGATGTTTTGCATGGTTTGAAATGTGGGGAAAACCTAACAAACATATTCTCTAGTGACTAATAACTGCAAGTTTTGAACATGTGATTCACGTATCTGTAACTATGTAAATTATCCTGAGAAGCTTTTATAAATATATTCTTTTCCTTTAAATACTCCAGTAGCATTATATTGAGTGATGAGTAAGAGACACATAATTAATACTGAGGACTGAGTGCGTCAGACACTTTGGTTGAGTCTGCTCAGGCACAGTTGAAGAAGTTGTTGCTGGGAAGATAGAAAAAGGTCTGTAACACCTATGGGCTACGTCTAGACCAAGTCACTCACCCCTCCCAGAATCACAGAATGGCCCGAGTTAGAAGGGACCTCAAGGATCATGAATCTCCAACCCCCACCACAGGCAGGACCACCAACCTCCATCCACATTTATTACTAGACCAGGCTGCCCAGGGCCCCACCCAACCCAACCCATCCAGCCCTCAGTGCTGTGGAAGAGCAGAGGCAGTGAGGCATGTCACCATAGCCCCTTAACCTTCCTCACTGGTGCCCAACCTCAGTCTCTGTCTGTCCTACAGACTGACTCAACTTGACCTTGGCCTTGGTGTATCCTCTACAGATCTGTCTTCTTCCCCCAGAAGTGACCTTTCTGCTCACACCTGACTAAATTATGCCAAATTGTCTTTTACTCACTCAATCTTTGGCATTATGATATTGCTTGGCATTGTGTAGAACTGTTCCCTGCTGCCTCATACGATGGTTCTTCAGTGAAGATTCTGCTGCAAAGTGTTCTGAACTACATCATTTTATGATCATACTGGTGGTGGTGTTCTGCTAGAAGCCTTGAAGTTCATACTTCCTGTTGTAGTTGTAGTGGTTCTGGATGGTTTTCAAAGTACTGAAGACAATAGAAAGTCAACTGCAGTCTGTGTTTTCTCTTCTTACTGAACAATACTTTGTGCAAGATCTCTCGTTGAAGTCTTTGAGTTACTTGTCTGAGCAAGAGTTGTACAGCCTGTGGTACACTCTGGGAATTAGTCTGGCTTGTGTGTGTGTAAATATGTATCTGTTTGTACAGTTTGGGATGAATTTTAAATTCTAGTTTCAGTTCCCAGCGCAGAGGCTGTTACAAGTCAACAGAAATTGTCCAGAGGCTGGTGCATCCTCCAGGGTGTGCTTTACTCCTGCAGTGCTGGGGATTTCTCTGCACTTCTACTGAGATGCATGGTTATTGCCAGCTGAAGCCTTCTGCTAAATAAAACAGTCAGTCTGAGTTTTTGAGCTTGGACTCAGAACTACAGGGGGAGCATTCTTTGAAACAAACTGAAGAGGATTGAAGATTTCTCAAAAAAGAAAACAAAAAACATTGATTGCAAGAGCAATTTGAATGCTGAGGTTCTCTAGGAGCTGACAGATTGCGTTCATTAATTCAAAAAAATTTTGCTGGAGGACGATAGCGTGAATTATTTAGGGCAAACGAATCAGCTTCAGAAACAATTTATTCTGGTAACAGACTTCAAAATTTTAGCAGGCTCAGAATTGGAGGAGCAATCCCCATTAGAGGAAGAAAATCCCCTGCACTGGGGATAAATCTTCTTATAAGGACTTTATTTTTAGACTGCTTGTACTCTGGGAAGAGCGCCAAGCCAAAGTTATGAAAATCCTCATATTTTGTGATTCTTTAATGAAATCATTCTCTTTAAGTACCGAAACTCTTGAAGAGGAGTATTATTTCAAATTCAGATGTTACTGATACTTTCCTAGGAAATCATGGCTGAGTTGTTTGAAATTTTGCTGCCAAAAGTGAAGTCAGTCAATATTTAGGCAGCTTTAGAAAAGAAGAAATAAAAAATATATCACAACCAAGCTATTCCTTTTCTCTTTACAAAGGTGTCTGTTGATTTTACTGGAGTCATTACAGCTGCAGGTGTGCAGTATTTCTGGCAGCCTGCATGTTTTTGCTTAGGGCCCTAAATTTAACTATGTAATGAAAATGCCCTCACCTCGTAGCTGTCAGGACAAACACGATGGAAATGAGGTTTTGATTGACTTGTGCATTTTTCTTGTAGCTGGTTCTGGATCTGTGGATCCCCTAATCCTTTGCTACCCTTGATGGAGGGTATATTTCTCTTCTTATCTGATGAACTCCCCAAGGCAGCAGACAAAGAGTTGGTTCTGATGGAAGGCCTTCACGGGGGCTGGTCAGAGTCATGCCTACATGAACGTGCTGTGTGGTGAGCAGCATTAGCATGCAGCCCTTGTTGCCACGCAGACATGCTCCTTGTTGCCTGGAGTGCTCTGCAGATGCCAGACCTTGGAGGCTGTGGCTGACAGCCCCGTGTCCTTGGTGGGGCACAGCTGAGAGCTGAACAGAGGAACACAGTTTAAGGGTAGAAGATCTGGATGGCCACCTTGTGTTGCCGGGCTGTTCCCCACAGCCTTCACTAGCTCCTCTTTGAGCAGACTCTCAGATAACATCTATGACTTTATTTCCTAAATACAATATTCCTCACAGGCTTTTTTTGTACGTCTGCAAGCTCCTGACAGATTTTTAGATTTTTTATTAGAAGGAACACTTTGTTTTTCAGAAAGTAGCTTCTGAGAAGCAACTTGCAAAAACTACCCTTTGCTTTTCAAAAACTGGTGGTGTCTTTTAAAATAGAACTTCAGGAAATGCAGACCTGAGTGTCTTCCTTATCCTGTCTAATCCATTCTGATGAACAGCGATTTCCACAGTTTTGGTAGATTAAGTTTTGGAATTGGCAAAGTGCAGAAAATTTTACACATAATGTGCAATACAGTTTTGGAATTAAAAAAAAAAATGTAGTGTGACAGCCACCAGCAATTGGTACATATAGAAAAACTTCTGGGTCTTCAGGGTGTTGTGCTATTGTTGGACTACCTTTCAAAGTGTTAAAATATTTCTGGAAAGTCAAGGGCGAGGTACTTTTCAGTGAAGAATGAAGGATGCTTCCTTGCTTATTTTTATTTTTTTAAATCTATTATCAATTTAGTTAACGGGGACTTTGTTATTTGTTTATTAATGTTTCTGTATTATACTCTGGTTCTTTATTGAATAACATTTTCTTCTGTTTTACAATTCACCCAGCCAGAGCTGAGGGTGGGGAGGTGTGTAGGACTGCTAGCAACAGTTATGAACAATATCTTGTGCATTGCATTGAGATGTTTGGCATGCATCTGCTGCCTGCTGTGACTCCAGTGTCTCAGTGCAGAGCTTGTTCTTGTTCAGTGCCCATTCAGAAGCACACTCACTTATCCTGATGCATTTGTTTGGTTGTAGGGCATTTGCACGTTAAAGGAAGTCAAGAAAAAATGTCGAAGTCATTAAAAAACTACATAACAATCAAGGTAATCTATAGCTGTGTGTTGAAGAAATGTGTATACATAATTTGTAAATACTAACCACAGTCTTATTTTGGGAAATATGTGAGCGTGTGCTTATACTGCAGGAAAAGTGAAGCAGAGTGTTTTTTTCTAGTGCTAGTGTACCTATTTGAATGCAGGAAGCCAGCTCTCCCTCAGAGATTGTTCCTAACTTGGGTCTGGCTGAGCTGAGAGCACGTGTGGGACCATAAATACTGGTCTCCTGTCTTCTTTATTATATTCTTCTTATTGTCACTTTCTTGCTGATGCACAGAGAGCTTTAATTACCACCAGGCCGCATGACTATGTCCTCTTTTGGTGTGTCAGAGAGGGAACCCTTAACCAGAGAGAGTTCAGTGGTTCAGCAGCTTCTGGGTTATCTTTTTTTCCATGAAAGTCCATGAAGAGGTTGAGCTCGTGTTTGTGGTGCAGCACAGAGCAGGGTTTCTGTGTCACCACGTCTGTGATGCACTGTACGTAACACCAACATGGCTCCAGTGATAGCTGGCACTTACTGTTAGAAGCAGGTAATTTTCTTCCTTGAGACAAAGCTTTAGAGGCAGTTTCAGCACACATGTTCCCTTCTGCCCGTTGGAAAACTAGTTACAATCCTTTTAAATTGGTGTGAGCTGCTTTATTCTTAATTCTCCCCATCTTGTCTTGTCTGCATACAGTTAAGCCTTGTCTCCCCCAGGAATATTATCCATCGCTCATGGTTTTCACAGCAGTTTCCTGAGTCTGAGCAGATTTTGTAGACAGGACAGAGAAGTGACCATTAATGCAACACATGCAATGAAAAAAAAAAAAAAAAGTATGGAAACGTTCCCCTCTATTTTTGCAGTGGCGCTTCTTTGCGTAGAGGAAAGTGCTGTGCAGGAGGCAATTGTAGCAGTGTGCTTAACAACAAAAAATTCAAGACCAGCTCTCTTCCCATGCTGGTCTCGTCTTTTAATTTCACAATTAGACATGGTTAGCAAGTATTAATCCTCTCCCACAAGTAACTTGCAGCCTAGCGAACCACATTTCTTCCCATGCAGCCTTCCTGCATCCTGGACATTAAGCCCTGTGTGTAACTTTGTGAGTGTGCTCTGAACAATTCACACCCTCCGATGGTGCTGCCGGCTTTTCCTTTGTCTGGAGTGGCAGAGGAGCACAGAGCACATTCCTGGCAGGCACTGAGGCATGGCTCGCCTTTCCTGCTGCCGCGCTGGATGCTCTCTGTCCAGCTGTGCTATTTTTCTTCCCCCTTCTTCCTTTCTCTGTGTTTCTTTCTTGTGTTTTAGTCTTGTTTTCTTTAATGGCTGTTAATTCTGAACTCCAAAATCAAGCACTTAGCGGTGATGCACAGCCAAGCAACCAGCTTTGGAAGATCTATGGTACTTTCTTTCTCTGTGTTCTGTTTTTAATGAAATACAGAACTGATTTCTGGAAATTCCCTCCCAGATTCAAAGTTTTCCTCATTAGAATGTATTTCCTTGTTTTAGTATTATTGTTTTCCGTCCACATATTAGCGTAAAGGACACTGAGGTGCTGGAGCAGGTCCAAAGAAGGGCAGCAAGGCTTGAGAAGGGCTTGGAGAATATGCCCTATGAGGAGAGACTGAAGGAACTGGGGCTGTTCACTCTGGTGAAAAGGAGGCTGAGGGGAGACCTTATTGCTCTCTTCCAATATTTGAAAGGTGCTTACAGTGAGAGCGGGGTTGGTCTCTTCTCACTGGTGACAGGTGACAGGATGAGGGGAAATGCCCTCGAGTTGTGCCAAGGTAAGGTTAGGGTGGATATCAGGAAAAATTCCTATACAGAAAGAGTTGTTAAGCACTGCAATAGGCTCCCCAGAAAGGTGGTTGAGCCACCATCCCTGGACGTGTTTAAAAACCATATGGATGTGGTGCTCAGGGACATGATTTAGCAGTGGTTTGTTAGAGTTAGGGTAGTATGGTTAGGTTGTGGTTGGACTCCAAGATCTTGAAGGTCTTTTCCAACCTGAGCAATTCTATGATTCTGTGATAAAGCTTCTGAGAGTGCTGAACACATAAAGTTACACAGAGTTGATTTTAAAAACAGCCATTTAGTATACAATCTGTTTCTTGATGTAGCTTGCCCCGATTGCCTCTGTTGCTTCTATTTCCACTTGAGAGACTGCGCAGTGCTGATGTGTGCTGCCTTCCATGCTCAGGCTCTTCGATGTTTGGGCTGTTAGCAGAAGCTAAACTTCAAAAAGTACACCTTTAAGCAAATTCCACATTTTCTTACTTGCACTGACTTCACCCTATGATTTTGTATTGGCAGTGGTGCTTCAGTGTTACAAACTTCCTATCACTGATTTTCAAATTAAAAATCAGAAAAGCAGTGGCAGTTAATCGTCCACCTTGTCCAACCTTCTTGCTGAGAGCAGAGCTGCCGAGTGATTGAATGTCTTATCAGTGTACCTTCCACGCATTTAAATAGTTCTTTGTAGAGGTAATAAATTATTTTTAAAGCTAGATAAGTAGTAGGGTGAAATTAATGAGGTTTCGCAGCCAGCATAGATAAATTCCAGCAATATATATGTATATATATTAAAAAAGAGTTATTTTTATTCACTCCGTTTTCTTCCATGTGCTCCAGAAAAGTTGCCCTCTTGTTCCAGTCTTTCATAAGCTTTGCAAAACTTGGGAGCTGTCCTTTCCTGCAAGGTCACATCCTAGTTTTGGTCTGATAGCTTTGGTTTGTTTTCTGCAAAAGTCTTTATTCTATGCACAGTTGATCATAATTACAAAATATTTATCAATGCCCTTATTCATGATTGACATTTCAAGTATATTGATGTCTTCTATCTATATATACTCATCTATCTTATATGTACATGACATTAGACTTCAGTTTAGACATTAGACCAGATCTCTAATGTAAAGTTTTAATCCTATCTTCAAGTATGATTATGGGCTTTTTGTAAAATCTGTCTGCCTGAAATACGCTGTAAAACTAGTTGTGAGAGGATTGAATAGCAGACTGAGAAACAGTTTGATATGATGCTAATAATATAATCTTTTTGTGGGTTGGGTTTAGGATTTTCTGAAGAAATTTTCCTCGGATCAGTTCAGGATGTTCTGTTTGCGCAGCAGATACAGCTCAGGTAAGAAGAAGGTGTGTGTGGCTCATTGCATTTCCTCCCAGCCTGGATTTCCAGGGGTGTCTTGGAGCTCTCACCTTGTGAGTGGAAATTTCCCAGAAATTTGCCCAGAGAAGCTGTGGCAGCACCGTCCCTGGAAGTGTTCAAGGGCAGGTTGGGTGGGCCCATGGGCAGCCTGATCTTGTGCCTCATTTAGTTGTTGGCTGCCCTAGGGTGGGGGATTGGAAGTGGATGATCTTTGATGTTCCTTCCAACCCAAGCCATTCTGTGATTCCCTGTATGATTGCTCTTAAGCCAACATTTAGAAAAGCATCTTTACCAAGGGCAGTGCTAAACTGTTTGTCTAAATACCTTCCTTCCTCACGGGAGGAAATAAATTGTGCATGCTCCAGTGGTGCTGGGCTGCAGCTGGGGGCACATGGGAGTCTCATGTGAGTGTGTTACTGAAACAAAGGATGAAGGAAAAAGGCTGAGGACCTACAGCACTGTCACATGTGTATTTATTCTGTAAGCAGAAGCTGATGGCTGGGTTGCCTCCAAGGTGAGGAATGACACTGAGCCCTGTGAGTGCCTGCACATCCTTCTCTGCTGCTCCTGAACTGGTTCCATATGAATGCATATGAGAAGGATGTGACAATTCTAAGTGGTTAAATGTCTTCCTGTGATAAAAGCAGAGGGCTACCTTGTAAATCCAGGCAGATTTGATAACAGGAAGTGGTGGTGGTGTATTGGAATACAGTGCCAGTAAGCTGCTCGGTAGATAAGAATTGTTGGAAGGTCTGTAGTGCTTGTCAGGATGTGATGCTGATGGCAAGACCTATGTCAGATAAGCAGGCAGAGTCAGGTACTTGTTATGCAGTCCGTCAGCACACGTCCATGCCATCAGCTCAGTTCTGCTCACAGATAAGTTTACTTCATTCCTCCTTGTCTTGCTGTCTGCTTCCAAACTGATTTTATCAGAAATGAGATCCCAAGCACTTCCTCTTTGTTCCTAAAAAGGTTTCTGTAGCCTAGACCTATTTGTGGTGTTTCCTGCCATCCCAGACTTTGGAGGAGAATGTGTTGTCCTTACTTGAATATGGGCTTGGGGAGCTGGGTGCTATTAATGGTCTCAAGGTGAGCTCATGAAAGGCCTTTAGGAGCACTCTGGTGAGGCCAGTGTCTGAGAGCACTTCTCTTCTGGAACTTGGGGTTGGTGTCCACCAGAATAAAGCTCCTCTGTGCAGATCAGGCTGTGTTCCCTGGGGCTGGGCAGGCACCTACAGGGTGTCACTTCTGGCTACAGACATTGGCACTTCTGAGCAGTAGAAGCACACAGCTTAAGAGACGTGGCCAATGAAAATGGTTTGACATTGAAGCCTGCGGAAAGAGATGTGCTGCAATTTGGTATTGCAGCAGTGAGAGACTGGGGTTGGCTCCTCCTCTCAGGGAAACAAATAGAAAATGCTGGGTGGCTCTTCCACGTGTGCTTCTTCCACATGTGCTCCCTGCCTCCATCTCACCCTGTGTATTGATTTCCGCAGCGTGTCAGGGAGAAACAAGATGCTTATAGAACAGCGAATGTGCTCAGCCTCTGGTGCTGCTTTCACCAATGATTTCTGGCCTCTGTGCTGTACTTTCTGATTTATTTATTCTGAGGGCATCAGTCGCACGCTCAGCATCCTGTGCTGTGGCAGCATGAAGCTGGATGCCTCACCTATGCAGAAAAGCTGGAAAAGTCAGATGGAAAGGGCCTTGGTGCTAGACTGTGCTCTCCTCCTGGTGCCTGTGGGTGTCCCCTTCTTGGCATAAATCGCAGCTGGGTCCACGTAGAGCTGTTGGCAAATGGCCTTTCCTGAGTGCAGCACAGTGAAAGCGCATGGTGCCCTCTTGGCTGCTGCTGGGTGCAGCTGGTGGGGAAGAGGTGCTGTCCCTGCAACCCTGAGTCACTAGGTTTCCTCTTGCATTCCACCACATGTGGCTTTGCTCTCTCTGTTGCACACATGGACTGTGAACCTGCTGTAGGCATGGGGGTTTGACCTCTAAAACCGTCTGCTGCTCTCTGGAACAGGCTTAAGAGATTTTCTGAGCTTGAATAGTGGTGTGCAGTGTGTGTGCAGTGCGTGGCGGTTCAGGAGAATGCCCTGAATCAGCGGAGAAGAAAGGATTTAATCAAAGCTTCATCAGAATAAACTTCCATCAAGTATTCCCCTCAGAGCCCTGTAACCAGGGCGATGGGTTGAGTAATCATAGTGGATATCAATGATCTCTTTCAGTACCTCACCGTTTTCTAAAAGTCAGTACCTCAGCCTTTTAGAAGCTTCATAAAGCTTAATTTTAAGACCAGCGTTAGTGGGACAGTAATGCAGGTTTTTAATTGCACACAAGTGAAAAATCTGACAAACGCAGCCCAGGGTTATGCCTCAGCTCTCCTGGGCTGAATCCCACGGGAAGCCTGTTCAAACAGCTAGGCCTCCCAACGTATGGAGAATTGAAGTGATGTTACACCAATTGTTTATGGCCCCTCAGTGGAAGTGACTGACACTGACGTGGTACCGTTGGAAGGAGCACACTTAGCAAACTCAGCTCCCACAAAGCCTGCTGAGCTGACTGGCATCAGGCAGTGTGCTAGCAGTCCAGGTCAGCAGGGCTTAAGGGTCCATGTGTGAGCTGGGTGTGATGGATACCAGCACAGGTGGGCCCTCATGAGTGCCACCAGTCTGTATTTTCTTTGGGAGTCACTATAGCAAATGGGTATGGCTGGCTCAGCTTTGGTACTGTAGTTGGATTCTGCACTAGATATATGATCCAGATTGCCAAGTCCTAGATTTGTTGGTGCTGGTGAAGCAGTCCTCTAACTGTGAGTGCCTGTATCCCTCACAGGGTCTGTGGCTGAGGGTTGGGTGCCCTTGAAGATCTCCAAAGACAAGTCTTGTCTGCCTAAATTAGAACAGGAATGGAGTTCAGGGGAAAAGCAAAGCTGTGTCCTCCTGGCTTAAATCTGGGGGGACAATCAGAAATACATCCCATCCAACACTTCAGTACAGAAAAACCCTTTAAATCAGGTAGCTGTTGCCTCAGTGAACTTCCAAACAGTCTTCAAAACAGTCTGATTCTTTTCCATTAGGTTATATATACATTGTCATATATAGGAATTGTCTTTTATGTTGATCTACATAATTCACTTATTGCAACTTAAGGACAGTGTCTAATTAGAAGTGCAAATAATTTTAAGAAAAGCTTGCTGTGACAAAGACTAACAAACATTTTTACTGACTGTGTCAGAATACTGTGCTTAGGTGTGACAGCCACATCCTCTGCATCATAATACTCAGATATTTTGTTTTTCTTTTCTTAGCTGTAGAATTTAGCGATGAGACCATGAATGATGCCAAGAACATTCTCCAGGCAATCTCCTCATTTATTAGAGATGCAAATGCTTATATAAAAGGACAGCTCGTGTGTGACCCTGTTAGAGAAGACCTACTGTGGGAAAGGTGAGTGTGCTTCCTCTATCTAAAGACTCTTATTATTTGCAATGATTTGCAAATTGCTGACAGGCTTAGAGGGCTGAACTCTGTAGCTTACTGAGTTCTATCGAAGAATGAGGACAAGATGAAAGACTGAGAAGCAATCTTTCCTGCCACCCCTCATCTGGCTTTTTTCCTTCTTTTTCTTGCCAGCTGTTTTTGCTCATAGTTTGCTATGCTTGCTTTATTGCATCTGTGAAATCCTTATTACTTATCTAGTGTGCCTGACCTAATGCAGGTGTTTTTGCATCTCCTGACTGATGTAGAAGGAAAATCTCTGACTGAAGTTGTAAAGCTACTCAGGATGTCAGAAGGAATGTGTGTTAGCAACTGGACAGCTGGGAAGTAATGTGCCTTGGGCATGTGAGCTTGTAGTCAGATGTGCTGACAGCCTGGTGTGGGGCAGAGGGCAGAAGGATTGCTCAGAAACTGGCCAAGACAGATGTCATAAGGAAAGAAGTTATGGTTGTTGGGACCCTGACAATGAAAAGGAGAATATCTTTGGAGTCCCTTATGAAAACTGGATTATGTTCCAGAGTAGAGAGATGTGGTTTCTGCTGGGTGTGAAACTGAGGAGTGTGGTCCTCTGGAAGCAGAGTAGGAGAAGCAGTGAACACTCTGAAGTGACATATGTACAGGCAGCTCTGAGGCACGTGGTGAGAGGGAAGGGTGGTCTGTGCTGCAGAAGGGAGAGAGCTTCTTGGTGGTGCATGCATATAGTTATTGAAGAACTTGTGGCTGCACTGTGGCTCATGGGAAGCACTGAAGCATGCTACAGGAAGGAGAGGCTGAATTAACTGCTTGTAGTGTTTGACAGTTTCAGCTGGAGGCTATGGGACACTTGGTGGGGGAGATAAGGCTTTGAGGTGTGAGGTATGTAAGGAAATCAAAATAGATTGTCAGTGAAAAATGTAAGAGGGCAACACTTGTGTATTGTTAAATACAAAGACAACCAAGGTGGTACAAAGTTCATATTTTTGGTAAGTGGTAGATACTGAACAGAGAAGGGAGAAGTCACAGGGAAGAGCTTAGGGTGGGTTTAGGGTGGCTGCAATCTGATACCTGAGAGAGGCAGGCACTCCAGTCAAAATCACTCTGCAACAGGCAAAACAGGGAAAAGAAGAGCCTCTCAGAAGAGCTGGAATAGCTGGAGGTCCCCAGGTAACCATGCTCCTTGGGCATTATTGTGAAACAGCCCCTGGGGTCGGTGCCTATCAGTGTGCAGTTCATCTGGCTTCCTATCAGAGAAAACTGCCAGCACTGTTTGCAGCCCTGGTTCAGCTCTCCTGTCAATTGCTGGAGCGAGGTGTGGGACAGGGCTCTGGGAGAGAAATGTGCCACTAGCACAAAAAGTGGGCTGCAGGGGGAAGAAAGGGCTTAGCAAATAGTTGATGTGCTTAATATGAAGTGAATTTTCCATGTGGTTTTAAATGATTAGGCTAGCATTGCTCTACTGTTGCTGGTTCCTTTGGTTAGTGATGTGTTTATTGAACAGGTCTAACACTTTGGATTTTGACAGGTGTCAAGTTTCTCCCTTTGCAGATGCAGAATGTGCTCTTTCCTGACCGGTGCAGCATCTCTCAGAGCAGCTAAGAAGGAAATGGCAGTGTCCTTTCAGTGACTCCATCTGGCTGAATAGCTGATGAATTCAGCAATACTGCTGGCATCTTGTTTGTCTTATCTTAAATGTTGTTTCTCCTCTTTGCAGGCTGGCCAGCACAAAGGTAAACGTGAAAGCTGCGTTTGCAGATGACTTTGACACCTCCAGGGCTGTTGCAGCAATTATGGACCTCATTCACCATGGCAACAGACAGCTTAAGGCTGTTACTAAGGTAACCCATTAGGATACAGAGATCAGAAAATGACAGCTGTCCACTGTCCCACTGTTTAACACAGATTAGTTTATTGTTCACATAAGAAAACAGCAGAAACAAAGCTCCATAAATTGTTGACCTTAATGGTACCCATCTGTCCTGACCGTGTAGCAGGAATTGGATATAGCTGTCGTTTATGCCTCGCTGTGGACAAAGTGTGTCTCTTTTGCTGCCCTCTATTATTTATACCTGAGGTTTTTGAAAGGCCTGAAGCCACGGTGCCATGCTGCTAATTGTAGTGCAGGCTTTATGGCCTTACCATGCTTCTTTGCCTACTGTCCATGCATAGAAATTGACCCAAGGGGGAGCAGGAGGTGGCTGTTCTGGGGGGCTGTGGCAGGCAGGCACAGCGAGCTGCAGGTGCACGCTGGTGCCTGAGCTCAGCTCTGAGCCCTCTGGAACGTGTCTGGGAGCAGCCCCACTCCTGAGGCTTCAACTCCTAGGCAAGGGGCGTGCACTTTTCCTCCTTAACAACTGTGAGTGAATTCATGTGAATGTGGCTCGTTCCTCTTTAATCTTCTCATAATCCTTATCTCAGTTGGTACATTCCTGCCCCTTTTCCTCAGTGCTTCACATCAGCTCCTTCCAGTTCAGATCCTTTGCAATTTTCAGTTTGTGATTTATCTCAGATCCTACTGGAGATAGTGGATAAAGCCCAGTATCAGCTACTGATTTGGTTGTTTGTGTCTTTATTCGTTTTCTGGGCAAGCGTCAGTCCCTTAAATCTCTTCTCAATCTGTCACTTAACCTTGATTTATTTTTTTTTCTTTAAAACTGAAATAAATGTGGAGGAAATAAATAAAGACCTCTGTTCTTAAATACACTGCTGGTGCTAGCAGGGTATGGCACAACACCACAAGCAATCTCAGAGCAGTCTTGTTTAGATCAGTAAGACACTCAGTGAAGGTGGTGTGTGGTTTTTTTTTTTTTTTTTGTCATTTATTTTAAGAATGCCCTTGAACTTATAGTTTTGCCTTCATTTGGTTCTCATGCATGGAGCCCTTCCATGCACAGAGTGCAGTTTTCATGCCTCATTCACTGTGCCCACACAACATCTTGTGGTTTCATGCATCTCTTCCTCGCTGTGACTGCTGGTAACAGCCCCCCTCCGTGCACATCTTTCCCCTTGCTGTTGTGAGGGGAGGTGGCTGAAGGTGCTTTCAGAGCCGTGTCATTCCCCATCTGGGTGGGTTTTACTGGTAGGGGTGGGACTGTGCCATTAGCAGTGGTTTCCCCTGTGGGCTTGGCTGTCGAGAGCTGAGTTCTGTAATGACTATTGACCAGGCAATCTCTTCTGAGTGTTTCTTAACAGGATGTTGGATCTCCCAGAAGCTCGGTTGTGTACGGGAGCATTATTTCCTATATAGAAGGCTGCTTTAATGCCCTCGGGATGTCCTTTGAAGAAAGGCAGGTATGAAACTCCTCTTTGGGATGAGCTGGTGTGTAGTAACAGTGTCAGCGTTATGCTCTGTGGAGCACTTGCTAAAAGCATCAGAGGTAACAGAGCTGTTTATGGCTTCAGTAAACCTCCTGCATTGCTTGTGGTTTCTGCTGTGGTGTGTTAGGAAAGCATCTGAGCAGGCAGAAAAGGATGAAGCCCTGTGGGAGCCTGTTTCTTCCTGTGGGTGTCCCTGTATGACTTCTGCAGCTGTCGTGGTGTAGCAACGCACGCTTGAGGAATGGAATGAGAAAGTCAGCACTTTTTCAAGTGCCTTTACATTGGTAGTGTAATGTATGCATTATGTACCTGGCTCTTCCTCTTTTTCTGATGGTTGCATCCAGGATATTTGCTGGAAATACCTCCTAGTTGCTTGGAAGGGCAGGAATGGAGAGGGAGAACAGCTCATTCCTTCAGACTGAGCTGTCTGTAAGCAAGTGTCGCTGGATATATATTTTTACTGAACTCAAAAAAACCTTAATGCTTTCCTTCTTTGTGTGCTGCACTGGTTTCTGTGGGTATGAGGGCCAGCAGACAGTGTTGGTGTGAGGTCACCAGGTAGAAGAGAGGGCTCCCTGAGCTGGCTGTTACCATGCTGACAAATGAGTGGAGAGGCTGCTGGGAGCTGCACTTGGGTTGGGGTACTTGCATACAGCCTGGGGATCTGTCCTGCTTTTAAGATGCAATTCATTGCAGCTGGTGAGCCACGTAGTCTAACGTAACTCCCTGTACTTCTGCAGTAGTCCCATTTTGTACAGTCATCTGGGTGCGAGGTACCTCTCTCTATGGGTTAGGGAAGGAGCCTGGACAGCCACAGGCAGGTAGGGTGAATGCATTTTTGCACTTAGGATAGATTTGATCAGACAGAAGTCTCAGTAAATGTTTCTCTTAGGCAGCCCTCCCAGTTACTGCTGGGGTTCTGGCCCGTGCATGGAAGGCATCGTTGCCTGTTTGGAGCTTGTGAGCAAGGAATCATAGAACCACAGAATATCCTGAGTTGATATCTTTGAGTCTGACTCCTGGTTCCAAACAGGTCCACCCAAAAATCCAGAGTGAGGCCTAAATTCCCCCAAGTTGTTCAGTGTTCCAGGAGTAACAGCAGGAATCATCCTGGGGACAGGCAAGGACCATGTTTCCTTACAAAACTCCATATGGGCCCTTTGAATTGATTGGTACTACAGAAGAAGAAAATTAAGCTCAGCTCTCAGAGCCCATATGGTGTTTTACATGGAAGATGAACTGATCTGATATTCAAACTGTCCTCCTTGGGGAGGATCCTGCCTTTGTGCCATGGATCAGTGCTTCCATGAATGTTGGCAGTACTGCCTGTGGAAGCATGCTGCTCAGCCCCACTCACCATTCATCTTTACTCTCCTTCCCTTCTGCATTCAAGCATTTACTGTGCTCTTCTCCCTGCCCTAGGTTTGTGGCTCTTAAATTTATTACTTTCAGTCCCATAAACTTCTTCTTCAGAATGTTTATCAGGAAGAAATTCTTTACTGTGAGGGTGGTGAGGCACTGGAACAGGCTGCCCAGAGAGGTTGTGGATGCCCTCCCTGGAAGCATTCAAGGCCAGGCTGGGTGGGGCTTTGAGCAACCTGGTCTAATGGGAGGTGTCCCTGCCTATAGCACGGGGTTGGAACTACGTGATTTTAAAGGTCCCTTCCAACCCAAATCACTCTATGATTCTATGTTTATTTCTTTTGAAAGTTTGCTGTCTTTCACAACAATGCAGAGCCATGAACATCTCAAGCTCCAACCCTCAAATAGCTCTCTTCTATTCCTCCCCTCCAGTTGTTCCCAGCCTCTGTAGCACCTCCTCCTCATCCCACCCTGCTGCTCTGTGAATGACATGCTGTCCCCTCTGGCTTTAATTACTCAGCTGCAGTCCTGCTCCCAGCCAAGTATCACTGCAGCCACCTTGCCCTATGGCACTGCTGTGCTTCACTAAGAGTAAAGTAAAATGTAATAAAAAAATGTAACAGCAAAAGAGGTGAGATTTAGATGGGTTATAAGGAAATTTCTTTACAATAAAAGTGGTGAGGCACAGACACAGGCTGCCCAGAGAGATGGTGGATGCCCCATCATTGGACATTCATAGTCAGGCTGGACCAGGCCCTGAGCACCCTGATCGAGCTGTAGGTGTCCCTGTTCACTGTAGGAAGTTAGGCTGGGTGGCCTTTAAGGGTTCTTTCCAACTCAAGTGATTCTATGATTCTTTGATTAAAAAATGCCTCATTTTCCTTGGTTGTATTCCTTGAGGAGGGCTGGGGTTCATACGCAGGGTAGGAGGCTGGTGTGTGTCCTCATTCCTGAGGAGCTCATAGCTGTGTGGCTGGGCTTCTGTTGTGCTGAGAGTTGCTGCCAGGCCCTGCTGCTATTCATTTGTCCAATCTCCTGTAAGTGATGTATGCTTTGGGCAGCAAAAATTCCTGTGGTGATGAGTTTTACAGCTGGGTTATGCAGCATGCTACATTCACACAGGTACCCCTGCTCCAAGAGGAACTCTTGCATGTTTGGGAACACATGGAGCTACTTGAAAGTATGATCGTGTCATAACTTTGGGTGGTGACACAGCTGCCCAGAGAAGCTGTGGTGCCCCATCCCTGGAGCCACTCAAGGCCAGCTTGGATGGGGCCCTGGGCAGCTGAGCTGCTGGGGGGCAGCCCTTCCCACAGCACGGGATGGGGTGGGTGGGCTGTGAGGTCCCTTCCAGCCCAAAGTGTTGGGTGACTCTGTGATTCTTTGCACTTCTGTCCAGTGTGAGGAATGGGCTGCGATGTTTCAGTTTCATCACTGTAATGGAAGGCACGCATCCGAGAGGGGTGGTGAGGCTGCTGAATTGTGATTGACTTTGAAATCGTTCTCAGATGTTTTTAAAGCAGCGTGTTTGGTTTGTAGGTTGCAGTGGGAGGAGGAAATGCAGCTCTGCTCTCAAATGTGATGGATGAGCTTGTGAGCTTCCGCACAAAGGTTCGTAACTACGCTCTTGTGCTGCCAGAAGCCACAGAGACTGTGCAAATGGAGGAAGGTGCCGTGGGAGCAAAAGGACCAAAACAAGAACAGAAAGAGAAGAGACGGCAGTTGATGCAGGAGAGAAAACCCCTTCTGGAGGCCTGTGACAGCCTGCGTGGGGACCTGGCTGCCTTCGGAATCCACATCAAGGTAGAAGACAGCCGCTCCCTGCATGAGAGAGCCATGGTTTGTCAGGCAGCATCCAGTTGTGCCCTTTCACAGCTCCCATCACTGTGCCCTCTCTCTGTACAACAGCAGTAGCAGGAGGCAGCTGTCCTGATCCTCTGCCTTGTGTCCCCATGCAAGCTGTAGCTCCTGCAGCTGCCAAGGGAGTGTTGTTTTGCCACTGAAAATCCCACTGTGTTCAGAAATCCTGAAATTGTCCCAGTTCAATACAGAAGAAGGGCTAGGAGTGATGTGTGTTATTTTAAAAAGACTGAAGAGGAACAGGAAACTAAACTGAGGTGACTAGTGGAAATATTGCCTTCCCTCTACCTACGCACCCGTAACAAAAGTGTAGGTCCTCACATGAGGGTCTGTTCCTCACTCTTTGAGTTGTACATACTTTCCCTGGTTCCTGTACCACTTCTCTCTCTGTGGTGCGTTCTGCTTTTTGTCTGTTCCTAATGCCAGTCTTCTCCTTTTGCATTACCCTGACTGTGCTCAAGAGAAGTCCCCTTGTTGCATTGCTATCTCCTCCTGGTTTCAAGATGCTGCACTGCTGCTTCAGGAGGTGCTGCTTCTTCCAGTGTTGCATTCTCACCTCAGTTTCAGCCCTCAGTTCCGTCTTGCTTCATATATGCAGAATCATCCCTGCTTTGCTCAGCAGTTCATGCCGCTCCTTGCACGTGAGCTGTGCTCAGTGTCCTTGCATCGTTTTACCACGGGGCAGATACAAAGCAGGATCACATGAGGGGGTGACCACAGGCATCCCTGTTAATTGCTGAGCGTGAGAGGCATTGTCAGTGCTGCCATTAAAAGCAGGCAGGAGCTGCGGTCAGCTCAGGATCTCAGATGGAAGCCAGCGTGCTGCTAAGCGCTGGGCTGAGGGACAGAGCACCGTGGTGCTGAACTGCAGCTGTGAAAGCAGAGGGAGCCGTGGGAAGCTGGAACATTTGCTTCCCTGTATGTACACATCTGCCTTTGGGCCTTCTGCTGAACCCCCTTTCTGTGGTGCTGTTCTGAGACTGCTGGAGGTACAGCACAAGGGGTTCCTCGCTGTGCTGTGCTGAACTGATTCAGCACCCCTGAATTATGAGGGGTTTGGGCAGGGAGGGCTCGGCTGCTGTAGGCTGTAGTAGCAGCTCAGGGGGTGCTTATAAGTGAATTCAGTAAAAGTCAGATTTGAAGAAAGGGCAATTTCTTCAATTGATTGAGTTTATGACTTCTGCGTGCTGTGTCTTCTCTATGTTGCTCAGTGCACATGAGGTCTGTCTGAATTACAGAGCTTCAAGCAACCTGATGGGAATATCCATCAACCTACTGCTACCACGGGCGTTCCTGGGGGATGGCATCACCATCTCTGTTCCCCGTTTGATTAATGGCTTTGCTGCACAAAGCTGATGTAGTAAAATAAATAAGGAAATAAATTTGAACCGTCTCAGAACTGCACATGGTGCATTATGGGGCATCCAGACCGAGTGTGAGGCAGATGCAGACCCTTTGTAATCCCAGCTGCTAGGCCTGACCCACTGCTTGTTCTTGCAGGACAGAAGCACAGCTTCGACGTGGGAAATGGCAGAAGGCAGGCGAGCAGAGCAGCAGGCTGAGGAGAAAAGCTGAGCCTTCAGTGCTGGACTTGTGGTTTAACTGCTGAGTTGTAAATACTGCTACTATCCTAATAAAATATAAGGTGTAATCTTTTCAGTTTGCTTTTGCAGAGTGTGATTTCAGGGGCTCAGGGTGTGTCTGTCAGCATTGGAAAGAGGGAGGTGGTGCATGCAGTGCACTACTGGTCCCATTACTGAGCCCCCACGGAGCAAGCAGCCAGCACACAGCACAGGGGTGAGTGGGAGGGGCTGTGCCAGCCTCACCCAGGGCTGCAGGATGGCTCGGTACAGGGCAGCTTGGATCAGCTTTCAGTACTGAAACCCAAGGGGCTGTGAGGCGTGGTTTGATGACAGAGGCAACTACAGTGTAGGTGAGATCAAATGCCTCTTTGCTTTAAAGACAGGGGTGAGGCGATGTGCTGTGCGTGTGCTGCTGCTGTAGCTCTGTGCTGCCATGACCTGGAAGCAGCAGCGGTTTTCACGCAGCCCATCTTTTGGAGGGGGCAAAGGTGCTCAGAACACAGGGAAGTACACGGTGTTGTTAAGTTGCTATATTTTTATTTCCTACTGAAAGGAATTGCTACATTTCCAGAATGTTTAAAAATTGTAACAATTGAGTACATTGGTGAATAACAAAGGTACAGCTCTTGTGTAGACTTAAAAACCAACATGGCAGGTTGAGGTCTGTACTGATGGAGATCCATTGGCTTGGCCTACAAGTGCCATTTTGCTATAATGCCATTTTGATACCCTGCCACTGATGTTCTAGATACAAAACCTTTTGCTCAGTGTTCTGCAGGAAATCCAGTAGCTGTTTCAAATCAGTTTGCTGATTTTTAATTTTTTTTTTTAAAGGAGTTGTTGGGCTTCTCCAATGAAGGGGAAAAATGATGGTACCTTGGTTTCCCCCAGCATGCTGGGAGGGTAGAAAACTGCTTAAAGTAAACACCAGAAATCCATCTCTTATGAGTAGACAGGCTCTAATTTAAGAAGTCTGTGACCCCTCACAGACCAAAAAGAGCAAACATTTAAAAACTCATTTTACAAAATAGGTAATTGGGTTAAAAAGAAAAACAAAATGCGTTGGGGTGAGGTAGTAGTCACAGTGCATACAGAAGTAGTAATGCTAAGGGCCAGAGGGGCGATAGGCAGAGCAGCCAGTGCTTTCTGTGGGAAGCTATTGCAAGCTGAGAGGACACGATCTGCCTCGTGTGCGTGTCACTGTTCTCCACTCCAGAGTTGGAAAACAGTGGTTGCAATGAATATTCAACACCTGTTTTAACTACAAGGCACACCATTGTGTGCTTGTTCCTACGTTTCAATGAGTATATACAGCTGGAGCTAGAGTGTAGGTTCAGTGGTAACACCACTTACTGCCAGCTCTCTAAGAGCGCTCAGAATGAACATGCTCCTCTCTCCATATAGGGTCAATCCTCACAAGTTTTGACTGAATTTCCAAAAATATAAAAAATGATTGTTATGCAGAATCCCATTCAACTTCCCCTTTATATCCAACACTGAATACTCAAACTGGAAGGAACCCACAGGGATCATCTAGTCCAACTCCAGGCTCCACGCAGGAGTATCCAGCATTCAAACCCTATGTCAGAGCGGAGCAGTTCTGCCACTGAGCCAGCCAGGTATGTCCCTAACAAACAGGGGCAGACCTGTCTTGGTCATGTCTCTGCACAGCTGCTCCACAAAGAGCTTTGGCCGCTGTCAGCATTTTTCTGTTCCTGTGTCTCACTGCACACAGCTGCCTGCCTTAGCTCTGACTGTACAGGTGCATGCTGTTGTCTGCTGTTAGTTCCTCCAGTTTGTGTTCCTGTTGGCTAACAGATACCGACCTATGTACATACGTGCTCATGTTCTCAGAGCTCCAGTTCAGCAGCACTTTGCCATTACACCCAAGAGCCTGAGCAGGTCGGCTCAGTGGCACAGCGTTCCTACCCTGCGTAGCACCTCTCTGAATGCGAACGTGACACAATTCATCGTGCCCAGTTCCGGATGACTGAGACCAGCTAAAGGACTAGAAAAGAGTTCTTCTCTCAGGTAAGCATAAATGCTGTTTAATACTAATATACCTACAGTATATCCTTATTGTGCAATGGGGGAATCTTCCCAAAGCCGAGACCTTGAAGGAAGGATGTCCAGTCAAAATGAATGCTGCCTCTGGGACTGGGAATGGAAAAGGCAACTAGTTACATTCAGCATCTAAAGCAACGCTCATGCATTCCCTTTCCAAGGAGGCTGACTTTCTGCTTCTTAAAGTGACTATACTACATGGCAAAACGTGAAGTGCAATCATTAGATTCTAGACAGAGGGTCTAAGGATGAACTCAGGACAACCGTGGTGCAATCTAGGAAATTCGGTTGAGCTGGTGGAAGAATTTTATTCTTACCTAAGTCTCAAGTGCATTGTTTTGCTGTTCATATTTCAGTTATTGCTCAATAACTATCAAAAAGAACAGAGGAATACTTTCAGCTTAGTTTTATTATATTATAACAGATCTGCAACTACAGCTTATTTCAGCCAAAACATTTCTGTATTCCAAACTCTTAAAAAATATCTACATTAATCATATTTTTCTATTCTTAAAAATAAAAAAAAATCTACCTAGCATACCGATGCTGCTACAGCACTTGAAGGGTGCATTACTTAAATTCTACTGTAAATGCAATGATTCTTGCAGTCGTCGGTCTTCTCAGCTGCTTTGACTTCAGGTTTCAAAAAGTTTGCTAAAAGCTGTTCCAACTTCTGAAACCATGTCAGAGGCTGTCATTGAACGTCCGAATTTTTGGAAGGCCTGGTTGTTGCACTGCCTCGTCAGAGAGCAAGCTCCAAATGCAGCCACGAGGAAGGGATTTTGACTAAAAGAAAAAAAATAAAATTATAAAACCATAGCTGAATGTTCTGTTTCTAAAGCAGTCTTGTGTAAGACTGATTCAGCCAGTGCAAGTAACCCTATAATGGACCAGGGAGCTCCTCAGTGATGGAGCTGGAGCACACCAAGCCCTGATGCAGCCACACTGATGTAAAAAAAAAAGTGCTTAAAAATGGGATGGCTCAGGCAACCAGCCCTCACCTCAGCTGGTCCCTAAAAAATACCTTTTTTTTCTTTTATTTCTCGCCCTTGGGTGTAACACTGGAGCTCCTTTCCCCATAAGCAACAGAGGGGACTCTGCTCTCAGAGACAGCGTTGGGGTCATGGACAACCAGGTTGCAGTCAGTGGGAAGATGAATAAATACATCATGAACTGCACAGAAGGTCATTACGTATCATTAAATCAGCTTAACAAGAGCACTGTAACACCTGAAGGCCACAACAGGAACTCTCTTGAAGCTCCCTACGTTGATGAACTACCTAACAGTGTATCTGTGCCTGGTATTCAAGCACTGATCCTCCCCCGGAGAAGGCAGCACAGATGTGAGGCCCAGCAGCCTGCACACGGTTCTTATGTTCCCCAGCACCAGGTTCATGCCTATGGTATTCCAAAGCCATCACCTCAGCATCCTGCTTAGTTACTAGGAGAAGCCTGTGTGCCAGAGTGTGTGCAGAACATGTGCTGGGTTTGCTGATCTCCCCAACTATCTGGTGAATGCCACGCACACAAATGAACTCACCCTTTTCATTATGTAAAACGAAGTTACTCTTTTAGTGATAGCTGCAACTTCAGATACACCAACAACCCTGGTTTCATTTTCCATTCTGGATATGTTATGATTTATGTGATGGAAACAAGGAAATGATGCTCATTACATTTGATATTTAGCACGCTAACTAGAGAAAGATGAAAAGTGGAGCAGGGATCTGGCATTTGCTGCAGTCAGCCACGCTCAGTGGGGCACCTAGCAAGGCAGAATTCAGCCTTAAGCTTCAAAACTGTGCTCAGCCCTGGATACCCTTTCTCCAAATATCTGAGACTGAAAGAATACAGGAAGAATTGGAAAGATACCTAGAAAATGAGAGAGACTGCTGTGTGAGGAAATGCCAAAAATACAATCTTTGGAAGAGACAATAAGATAGTAATACCAACATTTGCTCAGCAAATTAAATGAAACACTCCACATCTTTTTCTCATGCAAGCTACCATTTCATATATTACCAAAGGGTATGTTACCACTACTGCTACAGCACTAGATGGGATGTACAATCACATTAATGACATATTTGAGACGTACTTGGGGAAATCTTTTTGCTTAGTGAATTAAATGACATAATAAATTATTGAAAATAAGGGCGAACTAAGTGTATTTTTTTTAAATGAGTATTTAGACTAAGAAAAAGCCTGATGCTTCATTACTTCAGACTGCAGCCTACATTCTACAGCTCACTACATTCTGGGAAGAAGCACTGTTGTTCCCTAACAACTGCTTGTCATCCTTTCCATTCCATTTAAAGCAGCTTCTTTCACAGACCACAAAACTCTACGGACCAAGCAGTCAGATGGGAATTGATGTAACTCAGCAGAAGAGCCAGCAGCCAGCTGCAGGTGGACGTCTGCTTTACGTATGAGCAAACAGGGCAGCTGCTTGGCCTTAAAACTGTCACCCTCTTGGAACTTGTGTTTTGTTTTTGAGTTTCAATCCACCTGCCCCACTACATTACTTAGGTGCAATGCAAGGCAATTCACCAAGTTACAGAAGCAAAACTACATCAAGCTTGGCTCTGAGTTACACAGATGTTACTGAGTGACCACCACTTGCTTACCCTTCACATTTCCTGTTAACATTCAGCTGTTTTGGAAACACACGCTCCATACGTAAGTGTGTGTGGGAACAGAGCCAAGATGACACTCTTTTTCTGCCTCAAAGTTGGGAAATGTTTGTCTTGTGATGTACCTTAGCTCCAGAGCACGCCTGCAAAACTGCATGGATGCTTCAGTCCCAGTGACTCCTCCAATTTTATTTGGACATGTCTAGAGCAGGACTACAACAGTCGCCACAAGGGAACACAGACTCACAACAATTAAGAGATTATTAATAATATCCATACCCGTTTGTTTTTTCTGCTCCAGCCAGAAATGCCCAGTGCGCTAAGACTCCAAGGGAACCAGAAAGGAGGTCTCCTTGTCCTCCACATCTCCGGCTGCTTCCTTCGTGACTGCATACAAGCACTGTGAATGAGCAAACCAAAACCAGTCAGGTGCACATTTTTTCTTCTATACACCGTGATATTGCTGTGGCTGTGGGAGCAAAGCTCTGAGGGAACTCACAGGCAGCATGAAATACGCTATTTGTTAACAACAACAAAATTAAATTGTGTTAATATTTAAAACAAAACAAAACACTTTCCAGTTACTTTTCAATGCTTTGTAGGTAACGTGGCACAACGCATGGACCTTGCTGTTTCCATTCCACTCAGCCTGTAGAGAACGCTGCCACCCAGCAGTTTAGTGCTTCATGTTTCCATAAACCATCAATGCTGCCATTATATGCACACACACCCCACAGTGGCCCAGATCTCCCCACGAAGCCATTGCATGAGTGCAATTCTGCAGAGCCTCAGCCCTTCAGGGTTTACAACAGTAAACCAACGTGTTTTACAGGGAGCAAGGGTAAAATGGAACTCAATTCTGAAGCTGCCTGTGCACATCAGAAAGTTTACTGTAAACAGTCTTTTCTTCAGGCTTTGTAGAAATCAAAGGCAAAAAGAGATCTCTGCCAGTCAGCAGTGTCCTGAGAGTCCGTGCATGTCCCTGTCAGCAGCGTCGCTGTGGGTAGGCTCTGTCAGATAGCAGCTGCTGCCTTTCTGGTTTTGATACACCAAGGTCCTTGGTCCAGCTGATCTCTGTGGAGCTTTAACTACGAGGGACATGCAGATGGTTTCACTGAATGTAAGACCCTTGCTCTCCACTCTCAACAAGCCCAAAAGTGGGAAGCCGGTTATTAGCATACTCCTGGGCAAGCAAGGCACACAAGGCAGTACGAAGCAAGGCACTGCTTGTGCCAACAGCTTTTACCTTGGGATTCTCCGAGGTGTGTGACAGAGCAGCCCAAGAGTTTTAAAGGGATTACCATTCATATTCTTTAGAGTAACCGTGTCTTTCAGATAATGGGAAAAATCTGTTTGCGCACAAATTGAAGGCCTTGCAGGTAAGCCTTCTTAAATAGCAAGATTTAAAAAAAACCTACTTAACACAAGCAAACCCTTTCCGGTTCATTTGCACAGTTCATTTCTTTGTTACTCAGCGCAGCGGAGAATTGTACTTCGCTTCCATCGCCTCCCAACTCTTCCAGCAGTAATTGCTGGGCTCACGAGGCTGGGCAGCTGTGCGTTTTTGCTGCCACTGGGAGGGCAAAGATTCATTAGTCACTACCAACACAGCAGACACCGCTGCAGCGCTCCCAGCACTTAATTTTCCCAATTGCTCTTCTCCCTCCCTTCCCCCGGCCCCAAATTAAGATTCCGGAGGTGTTTCTCAGTGAGCAGTAGTTAATGTCAAATTTCACAAGTGTAATACTCTTCTGAGGGTGGTATTTGAAAAAGGTATGCCCTCTTAGGTGGATTTTTTTTTTTTTTTTTTTTTAATACAGTGCTTTGGAGAAATTACCTCTAATTCTGTTACTTTGAAGATGGTATCTCACAGGATTTTCACTTTGAGGTCTTGAACTCCTGGCAGGAGGCAGGATGGAAATCCTCTGTTCAAAAGCTTTGAGGCCTTCTGACTGACAGCTGAGCACAAGCCCCTGCTTATTAGCTGTATGTCACCATCTGCCACTATTCTACAGCCCCACAACCTTACAGTCAGCTTCGAGCTGCGCAGGGAAGTAAGAACTCCTCAAACTAGGCCAATTATAATACCCCACTACAAAAAAAAAAAAAGTGCTCTTTTGTTTGTAAGTCTCAAATATGTGCAGAGTACCTCACAGGCAGCAACAAAGGCAGACCTTTGTACTCTGCACAGAGATGGTGGAAAACAAATCCAAGCAATAGCTTCAAAGAAGCAGAATTACAGGAAATTCACTGAATGAGGTTGGAAAGGTATAACGCCCGGCCAGTTCTCGCACAGAGGCTCCATTCCTCAAAGAACATCTCTAAATGATGAACATTACAACAGGCAGTGTGAAAAGGAATGAAAAGCTCTTCTGAACAACAGTCGCTGTTGAGAGCTTTTAAAACAAAAGAAGGAATCCCGCAGCAGCGTTGTGACAGCCTGGCGTGCTGCCCAACCTTCACAGGACAAAGTCTTCTAGATGCTTTTCCCAACCTTCTCCTACGACAATAAGAACAAGCTGCTGCCTTCCCCACCACCCCTGCCAACCCAACACCCCAAGTGAATGTGCCCCACTGCCTGCACAGAGCAGCTCTTCAGCCACCACGTGGGTGCCCTCCTGACACCGCCACACCGAGCAGTGCCAACTGGTGGTGATCCTAGCAGAGCTCTATTAGATCATAGCATCAAGGAGCCGTGTGGGTTGGAAGGGAGCTTTAAGATCACCTAGTTCCAACCCCACTGCTGTAGGCAGGGACACCTCCCACTAGAGCAGGTTGCTCAAAGCCCCATCCAGCCTGGATGGACACGAGTGGACGAGGTAAATAGAAAAACAAGACCTTCAGAGGCAAAAACAGGCAGCCGATGCCAGCTGGATCGAGGTGCCCTGCTCTGTTTTTTAATAGTTCCTGGCAACCAGATCTGATGTCATTATTTCACAGGGTGATGAACTGAAAAACTAACTCAGTATAATTAATGGCAGACTTTTAATGAAAACCAATTTATGCTAGGCAACCTTCCGAAAAAAACAAAAAATCAACCTGACTCCCTAGCACTATGGAGCACACAGACTGTAGTAAGCAGCTAGCTGAAATAAAAATGCTCTAACTGAAGAAATGGCTGAATGAAATAAGGCAAGAAAGATGTACTAGAGTCAGAACAACCACAGCCCCGTTTCAACAATTTCAACACCATTTCAGCAATTAAACAGCATGTAAACATTGCCAGAGCTGTATGCAGCAAATACAACAGCCTGGCACACAGAGTCACACAGGTTTCTTGCTTACAGAAGTCCATTAAAACAATTTGTAACAACAGGAAATAGAAATGAAGGCTGTCACACTGACAGAATATTGGGAAGTAGAAATTCACAAGCTTTACGTACTAAACAATTCAGTACTGAGCCCCACATTTCCTGGAGAACTATGGGCAGGTTATTTAGTGGCCCTGCCTAACACATCAGGCCACAGAATAAGTTACTATCAGTCCCTTCTCAGCATGCCTCAAAGATAAGATAAACATTAGTATTTGGGGAAGCATTCAGAACATGGCCTCATGCTACCCTTTATCTCTACCAGCAAGCTTTGAGCCAAAGGAGCTCACAGCCCAAACTGTGCAGGCAGATCAAAACCCAAAATCATAACACACTTATTGCTATTCTATGTTTAATTCAAAACAAAACAATGAACAAACAAACAAACAAAAAAAACAGTCTGTGATGTAAATGAAAATAGCTGTCGTGACAGTTAAAAAAAAAACCCTAGAATTTAGTAGCTTTGCTGATATCAAGCACTGTGAGCTGACTGGGAGGCATGGATTTTGATATAGCTATCTATACACAGGCAGCTTCTACTTCCCTCCAGGGATGGGGCACCTAAAGCATCTCCACAATCTGTGCCAGCACCTCACCACCCTCTGAGCAAAATATTTCTTCCTAACATCTAAACTAGAACTCCCTTATTTTAGTTTAAAGCCATTCCTCCTTATCCTGTCACTATCAGACCATGCAAAAGTTGCTCCCCCCTCCTGCTTACAAGCTCCCTTAAACCCCTCAACTGATGTGGAAAAATGTAAGTTGGCTTTTATATAAAGGGTGCTTATACTTTTATATTCACTAATCACACTTCTAAAACTTAGCTAGGTCCTTGAGTGTGAGATATTAGGTAATACAGGTAATATAAAAGTTAAAAGAAAACAAATTTTGTATTTTTTTTCCTTGGACAGGTGCAGGAGCCAGGGGATGGATGTTATAATAGACTGGGAGACAACAGGCTGAGCTGTGCATGCAGTTGACAACAGAGTGGGACAGTGGATGGTAAAACCAAGAGCTCTGTTTTGCCTGGACTGCAGAAGCAGGAGTGGAGTTGAAGGCAGTGCCTTTCAGTTACAATCTAGGCAGAATCTACTGGGCAGCTGGATACCATAACAGCTTTTAGCTAAGCAAGCCAGAGACTGACAGGCATTGAATAGCTTCTTTTCTAGCCACGTAGGGAATAAATGGCAGAAACTCTTAAGTACTGTTTGGGGATTCAGGGCAAGAGATGTTTTTTTACCCCATCTCAGTAAACCTTACTCCCTTTCACATGCTCTGCTTTTCTTGTCCATGCAGTTGGGCAACAGGAGAGAAATGTTTTGCTATTGGCTCCAGGTAGAAGAAGACAACTGGCTGGTTACCATGAGCTCTGCTTTGGGAAAGGAGGAGATGACAAACGCAGGTGCTGGCAAAAGTATAGGAAAAACTCATCATAGCATTAAAAACAAAATGAAACAAAACCTAAAAACCCCAAACAATCAACAAAATAAATTCTCTACTTCAAGGACCCAGCCAAATTTTGAACTTGCTAGGAACTAAGATGGGTATAACCACACTTTATTATTGACCAGTTCTCCAATGAATAATAAAAAGAAAGCCTTAGAGAGCTGTGCCATAGTGAATAAAAGCTGACTTACCTTTTCCCCATAGGCTGAGTACTCATTCCTACCCTGGTCAGTGATGGCACTGATATCACCTACTAAGAGCATGGTGAAGCTCATCTTTGTAGAGCAGGGAATCAACAAGTGTAGACCAAGCTATAATGTGAAATTGCAAAAGGAAAGAGAAAAAGAGTATATAAAACTTAATTTAAAATCTTGCCAATTACGTTTACAGGGCAGTTGGCAGCTCATAACTGAAACTGAGACATTTTAGGAGAGCCTCATTTGTAGTGGAGGATCGTTACTGATTTCACAGAGGCCACGTATGTGATTCAGTTCTGATTTTAAGGCTTCAAAGAACCACTTGAATCATCTGATGTGATTTGTATAAAACAACCTTAAAGGTGTCCTGACATTTTACAGTTTGGGAATCTATCAGCATTCTTGGTATGTTATTCTCATAGCTAATTTTTTTGACTCTTAATAAAATCTGCCTTACTTGTGATGTGAGTTTGTTTAAACTTCAGCTTCCAATCAGAGCTTATTGTGCTGGTTTGTTCTGATTACAGTTATCTGCTAACAGCAACCCTTCACCGGCAACGCCTGTACTGCCAGCTCACTATCAAAGCACTTTATAACAAAAGTAAATTGTCAAATGTATTTCCTACAGACAGATGAATAAAAGTACACTGAAAATAACCACTGCAATCAGTCCTAAGCTAAAAAGTATTCACCAAGCCATTGTCTTCCCTGCTTCAAAGCCCTGTATCCTCAAAAAGCTTTCTTTCCACACCAGCCAAGCACTGCACACCACAGCTACATGGCTAAGTTTGCAATTTCTACTTTTTCTGGAGAGCAGTGACACTTCATTCTTCAGAAAGTATGCATGCATTATCTGCCCAAAGGAGAACGTTTAAAAGTCACAGTATTGGTGTGCTAGGCGCAGGAGCTCAAGCAGGAAAGGCTTAAAAACAGGTAAGGCTAAAGCACGATAGACAGATGATGATATGAAAAATAAAAGGCAAAAGGAGAACACAGATGTTTTCATAATATTTGGTTGTGCTCAGGGGACACTGCCTGATCCAGTGATCTGCATTTCCCTCACACTGGAATCATCACGTATGTTGTCTCAGCTGAAAAATAACGACATCAGATCAAAAGAACAGACAGATGAAAAAAGCAGTCAGTTAAGAATGGAAAACCTGGGAGAGAATTCCAAGGTCAGCGACACAACAGCATGCTCTGTGCTGCAGTGGAGGAGCCCTTCAGAAATCGACCAACGGTATTTCTCAGACCCAGAGAACATTATTATTAAAAGGAAGCTGAAGTCTTTTCTGCAAAATTCTCAGGAGCTCTTTACCAGCAACACAAAACCTAAACACAGTATTTGTAGTAGACACTATAATCTGTATTAAACTTGACAGCTGCTTTCTCAGGGCTCAGTAATGCTACCTGTAATGTCTGCAATTCAGGAGAGAGAAAGCCATCAATCATACAGCCAATGTAAGAACATAAACACGGCCTATAGCTATATCAAACAACTGCTACAAAGGCACAGAGTTGTTTTTATTTCAAATTAAAAAGCTGCTTTGCTAAGAGAAATAAAATCAGAATGTAAGACAAAGGAAAAGTTGGGGGGAAAAAATAACAGTGAAAGCCCCAAAAACACATGAGACAGACACCACATTTGTGCCATGCCTGACCATTCAGAATTGAAATTGCAAAGACTTTTAGTTGCTTCCTCCTTTTTTTGAACCTTGCACGACAAGAGACAACAGATACTGAGTGTCTCCTCCCTCCAGCAACACTGAGAATATACTTATCTCGAGAAGAGCAACTCAAAAGAATAGAGATACACGAGGCAATGTGTCAAAAGTGTCACCCAGTTTTCCCCACATTCAAAACAAAAGCAACAAGCCTGCACAAAAATAACACAGTTGACTGAAAAACCACAGGAAGAAGATTTGCTACAGTACTCTAAAGGTCTCTAACTGACGTAAACTGGAGCCATGGTATTTCTTCCTCTGGCATGCATCATTCTCCCTTAAGCATGGACTGATAGTCCAAGGCTGCAAATCAAGTCTGCCGTTGGTACAAATATGGCAGCAGATCTCATGTAAGGCAATTTGGGTGCTGCATGACCCAAAGTCCTTCACCACACAGCCATAATTGCACCGTTTCCAATCTCAGCTTGCTTCACAGTCTGCTACAGTACCTGTACTAATGGAGCTACGTGGAAAGTGGCTCTGCACAAACCAACGTGTTTTTCTGTTATAAAAGAACTCCCATGGCTCCGAACAATAAAAAAGGATATGCAAAAAGATTCCGAAAACATCAGTAATTATCAGAGTTCAGCATTTCAAGCAATTAGGGGCAGGGCTGCTGCTTGTTATGTATGTGAAATAATGCCATGTAGTCAAAATGAGATGAAGACACTCATGAATTCATTTATACTTAACACAGCAAACAATATTAACATAAGACAAGCAGCTAATTGTATCAAGTATACATAAACTATATTAGCAAGTGACAGTTTTAAAAAGTTGTAACGATGATCTAGAGCTAAGTTAAAGAAAAGTTGTCAGGGCTAATATATAATCACATGGGTACATACTAATCTACAACCTCATGGAGGACAATAACAAGCAACTAAGCAGTCCATGAACCTCAAGACATCTTCTTTTCAGACACATCAATACATGGTGTAACAACAGCATTATTCTGCATGGATTTAGCAGTGACACCTGCACTTAGACCATTTCAGTGAAGGGCTTTTTAAACAGCTTACAAAAATAATGAATGGGGGGTTGAAAATTGATGATCCTTGGGGTCCTTTCCCACCCATGCCATTCTACAATTCTGTGAATGAGTTTCTTAATATGCATTTAATATAAGACATTTGTTACAGCCATTTATATTCAAAATAAAATCAGCAACTTCTTTTCAGCAAGTAAATTGCTGTTTTTTAAAATACCAACTTACATAAAGCACCCAAAGGTGATCTGCAAAGACAGCCTTTCTTCCCCCTTCTCAATTGTCAGAATACAGCCAACCAGTTATTATACAGTCAGCCACTGGACTTCAACTGAAAACAAACAAATCACATTGCTAAGAGCAAAAAGTTTCACTTACCTTTCTCTCCATCTGAAATAAGATCTCGTTCTCCCTTCTGAACAACTGTCAAATTCCCCAAGGCTTGGCTGAGTCTTAAAACACATCCATGATGATCACTACTGTCTACGGGGTCTCTAAGCTATAACACAAGAATTCCACACACAGTACGTATTTTATTACTAGAACAAAATATTCTAACACAGGCTACTTCAGCATGTGTAGGGAAAAAAAAAGGCACCATCATCAGTCTTTCCACGTGTTTTTACTCTATACCCATTGCAGTTCCAGAAATACCTAAGAAAGGGTCTTCTGTAAAGGAGAGCTCTGTTTAAGAATATGTATTGCTGAGGAAATTATGCTCCAGAATGAAAACCCAGACAATGCTTATCTTGCACATAAGAAGCAGCATGTGATGTTTAGCCCAGTAATAGGGTGTCTAAAAACTACGAGACTAAACTTGTGTGTATTTAAGTATCAAAAAGGGGAAATAGCTCACCATGGCCTCATATAGTCTGCTAAACTCCATATAGTTTGGAGTAAGAATAGCTCGCTGGTACCCTTGAATAAGAGAAGGCTGCTGGGAAATAAGCCACAGTCCATCCTGCAAGAAACAGCAAGAAAAACATTTTCTGAACAGATTCTTAAATGTCAAGCCACTGAATCAATCAAAAATATACTTACAGCATCGATAATGATAGGAATTCCTTTCAGTTTTGATTTTTCTATAATAGCCTGCAAAAAAAAAAAAAAAGCAGATAACTTTAAGTCACTTACATTTTCTTCCTGTCTAACAGGTAGGTGCCGTACTGTAAGTCTGGTCATATAACATGCTTTTTCACAGTAAAATAAATCCTATTATGTTCTTTAAAGTAAAAGAAGACATTTTCATATCCTTTGGTAATTTTACAGTGGAATCATTCCCTCCCTAGTTCAAGCAGTGACAAGAAGGCTCCTACATACAATTGATACAGTGGAATTGATAAGCAAAGAAGAAAACAATGCCTCTGATGTAGGAGACTTGTGATGCCAACTAAGTCACATATAGGAAATGTACATCTCCAAGTAACAAAGAAGACAAAAATCCAAATGAGTAACGTCAATTAATTAATTTCCAGGGTACTGAATGTACCTCTGTTTTCTTACAGTCAAAATAAACACAGCCCACAATGCTTCCTGCAAATTACTAATGATGGAATACACATACCCTCATTCGCTCCCATACGATTCTAATTTTTCCAGTTGCAGTAGCAATGTTTCCCTTCTGTTTTTAAATAGATGACCAGAACATAGCAGTGTGCTTCAAACCAACATTGCTTTTGCTTGTTTGGGCACCGTTTTCATGTAAATGTGAGACTGAAACACGACCCACTGCAACAAGCCTGAAGGCTTCTCTCGGTACACAGCTGCAGCTACATTAGGAGCCACTACAGAATATAAACCTCTCCATTACATGTACACACTTGCACAGGTCTCAGCTTGGGCTGCGTTTCACAGACTATCAGGTGTAATCCCCTCCTGGGATTTCAGAGGAATGCCACAGGTCCTCTTTTATAGTCAGCTGCTTATATAACTGAGTAGCGAATTTCATACAACTCATACCATTCAGCTATTACAAAAGTATTCAAATTTGCAATTAAGTATATTCAGCAGCTGTGTGAGGATGGAATCTTAGAACGTAGCTAGCTGTGGCATACTGAACACTAGGTAGCCTCTCTTTGAAAGATTTTAAGAAACTTATGAGATAACAGAACCATAGAATGGCCTGGGCTGAAAAGGACCACAATGATCAACTAGTTTCAACCCCCCTGCTATATGCAGGGTCACCAATGACCAGACCAGGCTGCCCAGAGCCACATTCAGCCTGGCCTTGAATGCCTCCAGAGATGGGGCATCCACAACCTCCTTGGGCATTCAAGGCCAGGCTGAATTGGACTTTCAACAACCTGGAGTGGGAGGTGTCTCTGCCTATAGCAAGGGGTTGGAACTAGGTCATCTTTAAGGTCCCTTCCAACCTAAACCATTCTATGATTCTTTATTCATTAAAATTATTCCACACAGATGTGCATATTTTCATCACAGAAACTGTACTGCTTTGTGCCTGCTGTTTTAACTTAATTTAAATTACATTTGATTTGACTCAGTGGTTACAATAAGACAATGCTGCGGATCTGGCACCCAGGTTTGTATTTTCTTCTGTATAAATGAACGGTACACATCCAGAAGTCCAGTTACCTTTGAACAGTACTATGCTATTCTTAGTAGATATAATATAGCACTGAACTCCAAGAGGTTAACAAGATAACGTGTAAGAAGAAACCCCCTAGAATCTCCTAGAATTTTTGATGATATGAATACCATTCACTGCAACCTCGTTTTATAACCAATTTTAATTAGAAAGAATATTTTTTGGTCATTAGCAGCTTCCTCAAATTCTTTCAGTACACTTAAAATGACTAGTGTCCCACTTCTAATTAAGATGAATCCTCAGTTTATTCTGGTTTCAGTATACCAATCTTTCATGGCACTTCATTTTTCAGAACAGAATAAACATTTCTCCTAACCAAGTCTGATGCAAGACATCACACCTCAGAAGTCAATATTTTTCCAAACAATTCTTTTAATTTTATTTTAATCAACCCAGTGAATGAATTTTGCCAAAGTGTTTTCTGTTTCTGAAACGATTAAGGTTTGGCTGTTGCTGTTACTGACTGGCCCCACAACTACTAGCTAGAATTTCTCTTTACATATATATATAACAACAGATTAAATCAGTGAATTCTCAAGGTCCACTGTTCACCTCAAGACCTTATGCTTAAGGGAAAAAAAAAGGGTGGAATTTACAAGCACAGGAGGATATGTACAGGTAAATAGCTTCTGGAAGGCTAGGTCACTGGCACACCCCCGAGAAATAAGACATTTCTTCCTAATAACATTTTGAACTCCCACTTCTCTAACATGCTCTCCACAATCTAAGTGAGGCATTTGACCTCTGCTCTGAAGAAAAATTCCATCTTGTTAAGTAAAATCTACTGGCCAAGCAACTTGTGTTGTGTACTGAGTCTCTGAGGTATCAATTTCTAATCTCACATTGAAGCAATCTTTGTTTTCTCTTTCTCCCTTTATAACACAATCAGGGGCTACAAAGTCCATTCTCTTATTTAGAAAGCTTTTTTTAATTAAAAAAAAAAATAAATCCCAAAGTAATTATATTCCTTTCTTCCTGTTCCATAAATCCAGACAGAAGCTGCCTGTTGACAGACATGGAACCTCACAGAGGAAGTTGTGGGGAGAAAAGGGATAATGTGGTAACCATAAAAAATCAGAAATAAGAGAGCTCTCATAACATAATCACCTCCTGAAGGGCACAATATTCATTGGAGAACCTCTGCTTCTTATTGATTGTGGACAGGATTCATCTCACCTGCTGCCATTTAAAGGTCAAAAGGCTCAGTACAGGAGTGCATCTGGCTTAGGCATTGCATTTAAAGTGGCATGGATCACCTGCAGATATATCTGTCCTTTCTCAGTTCTCATAGAGAGAGCAGAGAAAACTTACTGTTGTATCTTCAGACATCAAGAATTACGTGAGATGGACTCCCTCCCTGCCTCCCCCTTTTAAACACTCTGTTACTGCAAATACAGCATACAAGAGTTATTTTAATAAGATGTGCTTACAGCAACAATGGCTACATCCTCTCTGGGGGGTGTTTTATTTCTGGAAGCAGAAAAATGAATTTTCATCTGAAAATGCACCTCCATGTTCAGCATGGGCTTTCCTGTGTTAATACTTAGAGTATTTAGAAGAACCTTCATTGTGACTGTATAATAAATACAGCACAGGATATAACTTCACTTTCATACCAAAATCTATTTCATGTTGTCTACTAGGACTCCTCCTAAGAGCAAGAACCAGCTGCTCACTTTTGTCCCAAGCAGTAATCACTTACATGGGAAAGGACTTAGAATATTGCTAATTAAAACTACTAAGAAATTTTGCTAATAAAACACCCAAATTCCAAAGTTAAGGTGGGTTTGCACACAATTAAACACCAGCACATACAGCTATCAGTGATGAAACTAAACATTGCTTTTTGAAATGACCCGAGATTCACACACCTCCTGAAGGTGCTATAAGGGACAACCTCCCACACGGTTATCATTTGCTAGTGGCCAGAAATACCTGACATTTAGGAATGCCCAAAATAGTGTCCTTTGGTGAGTACAATTTTTAATGGAGGTCCTAAAAGCAAGGGAAACAGAGAGGATAAAATTAACCTGAATCTACTCCCACTCTACTCTTGAAACACACAATTCCCTGAAAAATCTTTCTCCTATGACTGGCCATCTGGGACTCGTATGCCAGCAACCTACTCAGTAAGAACTGAGAAACAAGCTGTGTCACAGCAGGAGCTAGTGTTCTATCTGGATAAAGGTAATCCTTAACTGTAATTGGGAAAATTTACAGAGTCAGGGCAAAGAATCTCCATGTTTATCCCCTGAAATGCAATGCATTAATTTTAGTAGAAATCTCTGTTCTCTGTTCCAGCTTTCAAATGGCAATTATAAAATAGATTGCCAAAGCCAAATTTCAATTCTCTGTTGAAAAACAAAACAAAACCCATTGAAACAGGACAAGGAGAAATGGTTTTAAGCTGGAAGGTGGTAGATTTAGACTAGATATTAGGAAAAAATTCCTTACTGTGAGGACGATAACACACTGGAACAGGTTGCTCAGAGAAGCTGTGAATGCCTACACCCTGGAGGCATTCAATGCCAGGCTGGACGGGGCTTTCAGCAACCTGTCTAGTGGGAGGTGTCCCTGCTATAGCAGCAGGTTGGAAGTAGGTGATCTTAAAGGTCCCTTCCAACCCAAACCATTCCATGATTCTATGGAAACCAGAACCAAAAATACATGAAATCAAGATCATCCATACTGGAAAGGATCTGACAAGGAAGAAGCTTGGAGAAACAAATGGGTGGAATGCTACTGAAAGAAGGTAAAAAAAAATGCAAAAAACCCAACCCACTAAATGGTTCATCCAGCCTGCAGCCTGTGACCTTTACCTTGAAACATGATGGTCACCAATGCCTCAGCAACAGAGACACGCAGGACTCTTGCACAGATTCACATTCTAATCTAAGGGAGTGGACTGATATAAATGAGTATAAGACACTGTCTGCAAGAAACAAGAACCAGGAGGGGAATGGGGGGAACATTTCAGGGAAGACTAAACTGCTGTGGAGCTCCTGGGTATAATTGGAGGATCAGACAGCCAAGCAAGTCTTCACAGAGCATAAGGCATGAAACCTAAGGCACAAGGAACAGACACCAGGCAGCATGCTCCAAGGGAACATCCACAGCTTCTTATAGCCAGTCAGAACTCCTCCCATCTATTGCTTGGATCAGCAATAGCACATGTATCCTATTTACTCTGCCTTTGTTCAACAGTATACAAACTGGCCCTCAATGGGATCTCAGACAAGACCATTTCATATAGTTCTGCCCACATCTGACTCAAGTGTACTTTTCAGCTTTTTAAATTAGATGTGCATGGGCAGAAAGAATATCTGCAATGATATTTAAAATATTATTAGTAGTAAACTTGTGGTTTTCCTGATGAACTGGTTTAGCTACATAATAACCTTGGCATTCTGTATTTGAAAGGGAAAAATAAGAAAATTGGAGTCAATGGTTTCAATAAAAGATTGAAACTTAATGAAACAAACAGAAA